GATACCATAAAAATAAAAAGCATTCTTGCACAAATGATGTAATATATAACGCAAAACTCACGGAGCGGAGTTTCTAAAGTTATATTTGTACCGAATGCCAAATCAACTAATCGCTTTCGAGAAATATCTGGATACATGAAAATCATGCTAACAACTCCTATCAGAAAACAGACACAAGAAGTAGATAGCACAAACAGCCCGACTCTTTCAAATCTCTTGTACGTTCTAAATGTGCAAGGAAAACTTTTTTGCACGGAATACAACTCATTTATCATTTTTTTGATCAAGTCCCGCTTCATATACACAGAAATCCAACCTAGCCAGATGAAAAACCTCCACAATATCCTTGAAAATAAAACTTCTTTGCACCGAAAATTTCCGCAAATTTTGAGATTATACCCAACGTTTAGTAAGATAAGTAACATGGCTTGCTGAAATAACAATATGAAAATCACGTGCAAAGCTCTTGAAATTTTAGATGGTTCTGATTGCTGTAAATTTTGAAATCCAAAAGTATACATTACTTTGAGAAGACAAACTGAATTTTCACGTTTTTTAAATAACAAGTCATTCATATTTTTTCTCTCAGTTGTATCTGGTTCTTAAAGTAACAACAAAAGTTCTACGAAAATGATGAGAAAAGTAAAGAGGAGATTATTCTAATAAATATCAGTATTCAGTGTTTTTATTCCTGGTAAGCATTTGGAAAATTTTATTGCTTTCAAATTTAAAAAGGATATAATACTTATCCGTGTACAATTTTGAACAATACTTAGTCTGTTACGGAATAAATAACTAAATCTTACTTACTTATTACTAATTCGTTACTTATATGGATTACTTACGGATAGAATTACTTTCGATTGTGAGCAATATAACAAAACTAAATGTCCTAAAGCAATATAAAACGAAAAGTTATATAAAGAAAAAAACAATATAATAGAAAGATATAAAAAAACAATATAATGAAATATAATAAAACTAAATGGGGAACACCTCTTTTTGTAAACCAATTTAGACAAAAAATGAAAAAATATTTTATGAAGTGAAAATATCATTTGTATAAAATCTCGCAATGAAAATACGTATTATTATCTTACAGTCTTTTCATCTTGCGAAAAGTTGAAATACGCAATTTAAACTAAAGAAATAAAGACTTGTTCGCGTATGAAACTCTTTTGACAGACGATTTGATTGAATTAAAAGCAAATAATATTTCAGTCCGTTAAAGTTAATCGATAATACTTTTTTTCATGAAAAAGATTATTAATAAAAAAGATTGAAACTAATTATGTTTATTTCATTTTCACCATTAAAATAGACATCTTTGTGAGAGCAGAAACTAAACTACTTTCCAATCATTAAAGACATTTATATCGCTTATGAAATTTCCAGAACATTCTAATACTAATTCAATTTATGATATGTCATTAAAACTCAACCCCTCGAGGAGTATGTTGCTTAAATAAGAGTTAAACTTCAATGCATCAAGTGCGTAGCATTTGAGTAAAATGTTTTTATACTAACAAAATAATATTTTTTATTGACAAAAGGTTTTAACATGCATATTGATTCACTTAGGGAGAAAAAAAGATTATAAACAGAATATGCGGTGTTTCATTCATTATTAATGAAAATCATTTGTACATGGTTTCTATAGCAACTATATCAAATATTTAGTAAACTCTATTTCATAACTATTATCGAGTTTCAAGATTACAATATCTATGCATATAATATAACGTAAAAGATATTTTCTGTGTGATCTCATTTAAGGAACATAAATTTATTTAGAATTGACATTTCTAAAAGGAATTTAATTTGGCAACTTGAAAATTGACAACTTGAACGGAAAGGCTTAAACTTTTATTCTAGTATTGATTATTACAAAGTAATGCAAACTATACTAGATGAAAAATATAGAAAATATAAGGAGAAAAATGCTTATCTGTCAGTGCTTGGATGATTTATGAGTTAGTTTTGCTGTTCATTATAAAAATAGGAAAGTATTTCCAATACTTTTTCGTAGGCATTTAACATTAATGTTATCGAAATCTAAATTTTTTCGTTGAATTATTAACTTTCGAATTTTGATTTATAAATAATAGTGAAAGAGAAATTTCTTAATAGCAAAATAATATTCTTTTTAAGTTTAATATTTTGATATCAGAAGAAAATCCCTCCAAGATATCCATTAAAATTCTTGTAATGATAATGCACAATATCTTTAAAAAAATTCGTTTTAAACCTTACTGATATTGTAAAAACATAGCTGTGAAATATAATTTTGAAACATTTTATTTCATTCTTAAGTGCTTTACGCTAATTTGGTCATGTATTTTCAATTTGAGTTTAAGTATTTATAAGATTTATTCTTATTAATTGGAAACATTTTCTGTGTTTTTTCACTAAAATTTAAAAAATATTTTTTTTTTTTTAAATTTCAAAATTTTAATTTCTTGCACTTATTATTATTTTTGTAGAATTTCACTGAAGCTCAGCTCGAGTCATTCGATGGTATTTTTCGAAGGCACTACCATCGCATGAAATCAGGGGTGTCCATCCTCGCCGAGGCTAATGGGGACATTCCACTCCTGATTTAAAAAAGCTCCCCATTTTAACAAATACAAAAATACATATTAAATTTTTAATTTAAACAACAGCAATGTTTTATCTATAAATGCAATGCATATCACATTATTATTGCCCTGTTAATAACATTTAGTATAGCGTAATTTTCAGATTTTACATTGTAAAAAAAGAAAAGAAAAAAAAATTAGTATAAAAAATAGACCAAAAAAAATAATAATAAACACTCGAGAAAAGGTCCCTGGAAAGAAAGTATAATCCCTTATAGATTGCAATGAGAACTGACTTACAATGTCGTAGTAATCGCATTAAAAATTACAATGAATTTAACAACAACAGATTCGATTCCTAGAATTTAATGTAAATAAATATTTATTCGAATGTATAAATGCATTTTTGAAGAAAAAAAATCATTAATATATAAATTAATTTATATTCGAATGTGTTATATTAGAATTAATTAATGCACGGGAAGAAATGCTAAAAATTCCATATTTTTTAAGTTATTTATCTTCTATTATAATATCATATTTAATGTGACAATTAACTTCTCTCAAAAACTTAATCTTGTGATAATTTAAAAATGATAACAAAAATAAAATATTTCTAAACGGAAAAAAAAATATTTTATAATAATTTCCGGAATAACATAAATCAATTTGATCGAAAAAAAGTAGCAAAACAAACTTTGAAAGTTTATAATTCCAAAAATTCTGGCCACAACTTGAGTGAGATGGAAAGCTATAATTGAAGCCCAATGCTCATTCGGGGTAAAGAGGAATATGTATGAGAATGTAAGTTTTGCTTCGTCTTACGCCAAAGCTATTCTAATTCAATAATTGGTGCAAAACGCCAATATGAAAAAAAGTCGCAGTTTTTTGAAAGTGTAAAGCGTTTTGGATCTAATTTTTTAATGTTTGAATAGTTAATCCAACGCAACTCTGTCTAGGCTCAAAAAAATTAACAAAAATTAAGAATTAATTATTTTAATGTTCATCTAGGAGGAACAATTTCATTATTAAGGAAGTTTAATCTTTGATATATATAATCTTTTAGACCGTTCAAAAGACCAGATAATTATTTACGTCAAGATGGAGCTTAAAGTTTAAAATCATAGCTTTACCTCGAGAGTAAGGCATTTACACTGTGGCTCTTTTATTTTCTTTGATTAAAGTGCTAACACCCTTAATATTCCTTTTTTACCCTTTTTATTCCTTGAAACACCCTATCCATTAAAAAAAAAATCCGTAAATTTAGTTTCCGATTTTATTAAGATGAAGTGATACCTGTATTCCAGTAGCTCCATTGTCGTTATTAAAAAAAATAAGAAGAAGATTTAAAATCGATGCTGTTGTTCTGTTGCCCAAAACAATTTTGCTGAATTGAGTAATTTAATAATTTCGCTCACCAAATAACTTTGCTGTAAGGAATCTAGTGTCCGTTATATTGTTAATCATTGTACGAAATTGCCAGTTAAATTCTTAACTATTTTATTATATAAAAAAAAATCTTCCAAATTTTAATCACAAAAATCTAATTTGAAAAAAATCTAACTAAAGTACAAAAATTAAGTCACAGTATTGCTTTGTTATTTTAAATATGTATTTGCATCAAGTATTTTAAATGTATAAGTTAACATGGCATAGTTAATATCAGGGTGTTTAGAAAGAATTTAGCTATTTTATTAGATTATTATACAACAGAATAATAAAAAAGTAGAAAGTAGAGCAAAAAGTTCACAAATCAAGTTTGATTGCATCTAGATTGCTTTTTTTATAATTGAATGGTTACCTAAAATGAGAAACTAACCCACATTTGAAAACACTTTTTTATTCATTTATTTTTGTTTAATTTTTCTTTTTGTGATTGTCTTACAATACGACTTTCGTGCATTTAAATATATGCGTTGTGTCTCTATAATTTTTTTTTCCTTAGAAAATTGCTCTTGCAATTTACATAATATGTATTGCACTTTCGATAATATTGGATACACTATGTTACAATGTTTATTTTTTTTGGTAATCTTTAATTAGTATTATAATTTGAACAGTTTCTCAAATAAAGAACAAAATGAGTGAAAAATAATTAAGCAATGATAAAAAAAAAAAAGTAAAAACGGATTTAAAGTATAAATAATGTGATTACATCAAATTTTTTATCATTATTATGTATGACATGTTTTTAAACACTGATATGTCAACGAGCGTACTTTGTATTTCTGTTGTTTTTAGGTGTCGGAAATCATTAACTATATTCTTATTATTATCTCTGCTGGATATTTTAAAAACTATCATAGCGTACTCTGGTGGTGCCATCTATTAGTGAATTAGTGAACTAAAATTATTGCATTTAATATTTGAATAAACAATCGTCATGGTAAGAACAATCGTCATGGTAACTAAGAAATCAAATCTATTACTGCATAGTTCAAATTGGTAGACAAGCTATATTTTGTATCTCTTAAACAGAATATCAATGAGTAGTAAATCATCGAACAATTTTTCGAAAAAAAATGGATTATTCAAAAGAGCGGAATTAGCGATAATTGATAAAATTATACCGAAAACTCATTGTAAGTAAATTTGTTTCTTTACACAAGCAGTTTCATTTATGAATTCTAATAAATAAAACAATGATAACATCATTAATAAACGTTGTGATGCGGATTTGCTTTTTTTTTCCAACTATTCACCACACGATTTAGTTTTGATTCGCAAATAAAATTTTAAAAATGTGGTTTAGTAAATTATTAACAGTTTTTTTAAATATAGATTTTTTTTTATTTTAGTTCATATATTTAAGAATAATCAGTATTTCTTGCATTAAATTATTTAAAATTATATCATATTTAGGTTTAGAAGGTAAAAGTACAACTCTAAGGCAATGTACAAAAATAGTTTAATGAAATAAAGTTGAGGGATTCTTATGACTCAGCCTGTTATATGAGTAAAAATGACTTAACAATTGTATTAGATACTAGATGCAACAAAAATGTATGTCTAATGGTGAACTCTCAATAATTAAATAATTTTGGGAAAAACGAAATAATTTTTACTGAAAACCAGGTAAAAATAGTGGTTTCAACTTTCGAGAGAAGGGGGAATTATGATTGAAAATTAAGAAATATTTAAGATATAATATCGTGTTTGCTTGCATTTTACTAATCATTAGCCTCTTCTAACTAAGCAGTTTTATAATATAAGTATTAGTATAACATAAGTAACATAGCATAACATAAGTACATAACTATGCTACGGTAATTAAGGAATTATACTTCATTTTAACAAACTTAATAATGGTGATATTCTTTTCCCTTTTTTTTACGAATATTGCGATTTTGCAATAATAAAACGTATTTAAAATATAACTCTCATAAATATATTAATGTATACAAGACATGAAATGCATGTAAGATATTAAAAGATTTAAGTATGACAGTTAAGAAATTCATTTGAAATATGATGTTTATAAGCACTTTTTATTTCTTTATTTATCTGGTTTTCCCTCTTAGTACTTAGTTATCTGATAACAAAATATCTATTATATGGACAATCACTAAGATCAACCATGTCATAAGTGAGATTAAAAACAATTACATTACTTAAAATGTCCTGAAAAGAAAATGTGAAACAATTTATAAATTATTTATGATTTTCTAAGATTTTAAAATTTGAATACATGAACTTTTTATGTAACATTATTTGGGTTTTTTATGTTGTTTTTACTTCATTTATACGAGGATTTCATATTAAAATCAAATTTACATAATTTATTATAACTATATGCAAATTTTAGAGATTATCATTTTTACAGCTTTGATCGAGTCTTTTAAACACGAAAGTTTAAAAAAACAAAAAAAAAAATGCCTGAAAAAATGTATAGATATTGTATAGTAATTTTAATGCACGTTCACAAAGTTTTATATAATTTACGATATTTCTTTTTTCTACAACTAAAAGGATTGTTGAATGTTAAGTGGTGGCATTTTAAAAACATTAGAATATGTTATGTTTAAGGATAACGTATTGAAATAATATGTTGCATATAGTATGTTTCATTATTTAAAAAATCACTTCATTCTGCCAGATATTTAAGTTACATGTTTCTTTTCTCCTTCTTTTTTTTTGGGGGGGGGGTAAAGATTATTTGCAAATAGCATCTTGATGTTTTGACACATTCTGAAACTTATTTTCGCAAATTCACCATAAAATTTCACACAACATGCTCTTCAATTACAATAAGCTACATTAATCACCAAATACAGCTCTATGATTTCTTTGTTTTCTTGCATATATCTGATGTGATACTGTCCTTTTAAACAGTGTTCGTAATGTCCTTAAGATACTAAAATGGTAGCACAAAAACTTAAACGATAAAATATTCAATTTCCTTAACTCAAAATATCTTGTCTCAAACTTTTAATTTTAAAGTTGAAGATAGCTTCATAGTTACAATATTGTTACAATTATATATAGTTACAATTTACAATTTTTTTTTTACTTTTTTAAAGACCACAGGAATCCAGTTAAAATATAAAAATGCATATGTTTACTTCTACAAGCATAAAATCCTTATCAAAATAATGATCAAGACCCAAATGTAAAATAGTATAACGGATGGTAAAAACTTCACTGACTTCAAAAAATATGAAGAGGGAAATAAAAGTCAACATGTATCTAACATTCAAATATAAGCGTCCATTCTAAAGACTCGCCAGGCGCTAATTTGCTTAAAATAAATTATTCAAGTTATATGATTTAATGTATTTATAGTATAATTGTAAACAAGGCTTTCACTCCTTAACCTTGATACCGCTATTACTAAATTAATGAACTGAGCTTAGGCAAATAGTAATAGTTAAAACAATTTCTCGTTTTAGCTTTAAAGGAATAATATGTTTCGTCCAAGCATATTTTAATTTTAGAAATAACGAAATTGTTGAGTAGGTTCCTTGGAGCAATATCATTCTTATCCTCTTATGACGAAATATAGGAAAAATTGGTATTCACAGTTTCTGTAAAAAGTATGTTAACCTTCCCTCTGCCTTTTTTTNACTTTTTCTTTTTTTTTTTTTTTTTTTTTTTTTTTTTACTAAAATAGGCTTGATGATTGTGTATTTTTTTATGAAATCAGATGATGATTCTAAAAAGTTGGCACTGCTTCGGAATATTTTTACAAATTTCAATTTCTTCGTATTTGCTGTATAACAAAATAAGGCATTTTCCTAATAACAAATTATGCTATAATAATAACTCTCCACGAAGGCTCCCAATACTTAATCCAGGAGTTCCCTTGTCTTCTGAATTGAGTTCAAAATTACAAATCTGCGGAGTTGAACATTAGTAGTCGTAAACCCAAAAACTGGGTCGGCAATTCAACGGCGGTTATAAAATAAAAAATAATAATAACTTGAGAATTGCGCTTAAGTTGAAAAATAATTTTAACAAAAGTAAATTTTTTCACCATCTTTTTTTAAAAAAAAACAGCTTTCTTAAAATTAAAGGTGTAATACGTATATAAGTTTAAACGTCAAAATAAAATTGTGGTTCGAATTTGTTCATTTAAAAAACAAAGCAAACAGTTGTGACTTTTTGACTTGCACTGATATGTATTTACTTTTCACAAACCAAACAAATAAGAAACAATAAAGTACATAAATAAAAAATTTGTTTGAGATTGCAGCTACTTATTATGAAGCAGCTTATTGTGAAGGTTAAGAATCCAAATATGTAAAAAAAATAACTAAAAAAAATTATGTTTATTTAGAGAAAGTACGTTTTTGTGGTAATTGAATTAATAGTTAGCACTAAATAATTAGCATATTTAAGGTCACTCTCAGGAACCATTAAGATACTTAGTACGTGAAAATCCGATCATTAGAACGAAAGTTATTCAGGGTGATATCTTTTTTTNATATATTTACTATATTTTTTTTTTTTTTCTTTTTTTGCTCCCGGCACAACAGAGCTTTTACTTAATAGGGAAAGCAGAAAACAGGTAGTAAACATATTTCTTTCTTATTCTTAACCTTTTTTTGGAGAAAGTAAATTATTTATGACAAAGTGATTTTTTTTTTTTTTCGATTTTAACATGTATATTATCAGCGTAATTTCTATTACATGTTATATATGTTAATGATTCGTGTCAGCAAAAAAAAATACTTTACTGGCAATCTTCTCCCTTCTCCCGGTAAATACCAGTAGAGAAGATATAAATAATTTCAATACTATTATTTAAATAAAAAAACTACAATGTGCTAAATAATCATATATATTTTAATACAAATAAATTATTTTAAACTAATATTATTCAATTAATATTATAAGAGATATATTTTTTGTAAAAATTGATTCAGTCTTTGAAATAGAATGGTAATAATTAGGTGATGAATCAAATTAATTATTACAGGATCAAAAATATTTCTTGTCGAAATGAAATTTCAAAATAAAATGAGGTTTACTTTCACACTAAACAGGCGATTAATTTATGTATATGCCATACATTTTCATTTTATTTTTATTGTTTCATATTTCTTTAAAAAAACTATAGCTTAATAATTTTTGAAAATCATTTGAGTACTTTTAAAAATTCACACTGCGTTAATTGCCATACTACAAAATGTACTTGAATTACTATGCCACAAAATATACTAGAATTACTATGCCACAAAATATACTAGAAATACGGTTTTTTTTACAAATATACTTGAAATAAAATGATGTAATTTTTATTTAAAATAATGACCTACCTGTTTATCAATATAAAATCTATATCATAATATTGATGTGTGGAACAGTCTCGAAGAGCAGATCTCTCTTTTTCCTCAGAAATAGAAAAGCAAAATGGGTTTTTTTAAAAATCGGCGTGATTGAAAAACACTACTTGTTACGCTTTTTCTCCATATATTTCCCGCTTATCTTCTTACTTTTTATTTAAGGAAGAAAAGAGAAAGAAAATCGAACTAATGCTGCTTTCACAGAGCCACAAAATCAAAGTTGAGTTATTTGTAATAGCAAAAAAATCGTTTGATATTGTAAAATTTTAGAAATATCGTTTGCAGTGCAATAAATTTGTCTATAATCTATTTCTGTGAATGAATGATTTAATAGGTATTCACGATCGCAAAGCTTGATTACGCCCTCTAACGGGTAGTACATTTTCAGGCTTTTATTTATTAAGTTCTAATTTTGTTCAGAATCATTGGAACAGTCGGACGCCATTTTTTTAGCAATAAATAAGAAGCAAAGTTTTCCTAAGGAAAAGGCAGAAGAACTTGGGGAAAAAAAACGACCCAGAACAATGGTAAATCTTGCTGAAACAGAACGCGCCCAACATTTGAAGAACAATTTCACAATAATTTTTACCTTTCTATTATCAACAACCTTGCAATCGATAGCTTCCGATTTCGTGATCGCATACTGCTACAGATTACGGTAAAATATTTTTTTTCTTCAATTAATTATAAATTAAAGTGAAGTCAACATTGCTTACTTCATTCCAATGAATAAATGCGATTTCAGAACGTGCAGAACTGTAATAGTTATAGAATATTCTTCTTCTTTATAGAATAGTAAATATTTCTGAATCTATATAATTCGGAAAACAACAATAACGAATCTTCCGCATTACTTGAAATAGTATCATTTGAGTTGATTATTAAAAAAAAATTTATCGTTTTCTTGGTAAGTATTTTTCAGTTTTGAATGATTAATTTCAACTAGAATTCAGCTATTCTGTTTTAAAGTTACATATTGAAATTCATATCGAGATCTTACAATTCTAAAATTTTGTTGTGTGGCAAGTTATCTAAAAGTAATGAAGGGATAATCTATGGATATATTATTTGAAAATAAAATTTCAAACGGAGAATATTTCATTTGGAATTCACCAGATTTATAAGTTTTATGATTTTTATAATAAAAATTTACTTGTAAATAATTTCGCTTTTCTACTTTGATGATAGTTCTCAACATGATGGTTTTTTTCGTCTGATTAAGAACTTTAAGATTAAAAAGAAAAAAAAGATCAATATGTAAGTTTATTTCAATATGAGGAATTTTTGGAATAGTTTTTTTTTTTTTTTTATCGTAAGCCTTCTTTATTTTATGTTTTTTAGTTTATAAATAATGATATTTTATTGAAACTTTAAACTTTTTTAATGAAAATTGATGTCAAAAAACTTTTTTTGCAAAATTAAATGGCATAACATTGTGTGCTTCTGTATACTTTTTGCATAATTTCAATTTTTGACGTAATATGATACAGAAAAGTATGGAATGTAAAATTTAAATAGACTTTTCACACTAGATCATTAAATTTAGTAGAACAGCTTCTCATGCACTAGGTTTTAACTCTAATTACAAGATTTTTTTACAAATATTTTCCGTGGTGTTTTGGATGTTCCTTCTCTAAAAAAAAGATATTCCATTTTGTTTTTGCTTGCATACGAAAGGATATCATACATTTTTCTTTTTTAAATTTAATAAGCCACAATAATGAAGGAACATTACCATGTTACACTGATGAAATCTCCAGTGCAACTGATGATCCTGTTGTTCTGCTAGCAGAAATTCGTCTCAAATAAAAACGCCACCTATTGGTATGCAATATAAAATATGCAAAAAGTACACAGAGACACATAATGTTATGCCATTTCATTTTGCAAACAAAATTTTTTGTCAACAATTTTTATGAAAAAATTTAAAGTTTCAAAGAAAAATCATTATTTATAAGTTAAAAATGTAAAAAAAAAATGCTTAAGATAAAAAAAAAAAAAAAAAGCGATTCTAAAAATCCCTTATATTGAGATAAAAAAAAATTCTTTTCTCTTTTTGGTGAGTTCCTAATCGTAGAAAAATCATTCAACAAGGAAAAACAAGACATTCTGTGGAAAACTAGATTAATTCAAAGAAAAAAAAATTTAAAAATTAAAAAAAAATATTTTTTACGAGTAAATTTATTGTTATAAAAATCAAAACACTTACCTGCCTTAAGAATCCAAAGAATTCCAAAATGAAATGTTCGTTAGAAAATTTTATTCTCAAATAATATATACATAGATTATCCTATCATTATTTTAAGATGACATACCACTCAATAAAATTTTATAATTGTGAGATCTCGATATGAATTTCAATTTATAACTTGTAAAATAGAATAGCTGAATTCTTGTTGAACTCAATCATTCAAAATTAAAAAATACTTACCAAAAAAAACGATAAAAATTTATTAATAATCATTAAAAATGATAAAGGACGTGGGTAAGGGAGAGTTTTAGGGGATTCAAACACCCCAATTGTAAATGACAATTTTTTATATTTTCTCAAATTGCTCATTTTCGTAAAAAAATATTTTTAAAAACAATTTCTGCTTCCCTTAAAGCTTTTATTAGTTAAAAAACACCACTTTAAATTCATTTTACCACAAGGAGACTTAAAAATTAAATATTTTTTTATGAATCGGTTTATGGGGCTCGACAAATACGTCCCTGATTGTTGGCAATGGCTGATCTGCATATTTAATTCATCCCCATGCTAAATCATTAATTCCCTCGCAAGTATGTTGTTTCAAGTCCGTTAGCTTGATCAAAAGTTATTCAAGCTGGGTTTTTTTTTCTCTTGCCATTTGTGTAAAATAAAATTTAAAAATTCATTTACTATTATTATTATTTTTAATTTGTAAATGGTGACAATTGTTTGGGTATCTCCAGTTATATGTCGAAAATTTGAAATTATGTGCTATAAAAACATTTTGAAAAACCATGCAAACCTCTTATTTATCTCGCAACCATACATTCCATTTTAAATTCTATTTTAGTATTGATTATTTTTATTTCATATATTTTTATTTTTTTATTCTCATTTAACGATGATATTTTTCCTCAAGTTTCAGAAAATGATTTTAAATACCTACTGAAAGTTTTCAGAAAATATGCCAGTCAAGGTCAATTCATCGAAAAGACTGATTTTCTAGAAATGTTGCATGAAACTTTCGGATATACTGAGCATTTTTTCATGAATCGAGGTATAGAAACTCATTTATCTCTTGATATTTTTTTATCATTGTAGCTTATTACAAATTTAATCAGAGAGTAAAAAACTTCTATAAAGTTTTGAAAAACAAATCGCAATATTCTTTCGTTTTATTTATCAACTTAATATTTTTTGGCATCAATCATTTCCAAGGTTGCTGTTATTATTATTATTACTATTATTAACATTTGGTATACCTGTAAAACATATTTTTTCTAAAAGTAATAAATTAATTGTTTGTCATTTTTTAAGTGTTCCTGATTTGTAGATGCTTCTTTTTCCCTTAAAAAATAAAATATAGTTCTAACTTATCACTGGTGTGTTATTAATCATATGCTTAAACCCAATGAGATATTTTCAATTCGTTCTCCTCCATATCTGTAGTACAAGAAGTTCCCATTGTTTATTTATTACAACCATTTTCTTTTTATTACAGGCAATTACTATTATTATATTATTATTTTTATTGCTATTATTAACATTTGGTATACCTATGAAACATATTTTTTTCCAAAAGTAATAAAATTTAATTTTTTGTCTTTTTTTAAGTGTTCTTGATTAGTAAATACTTCTTTTTTTCTTAAGAAATAAAATATAGTTTTAACTTATCACTGGTGTGTTATTAATCATATGCTTTAACCCAATGAGATATTTTCAATTCGTTATCGTCCATATCTGTAGCACAAGAAGTTCCCATTGTTTATTTATTTCAACCATTTTCTTTTTATTACAGTCTTTATACAAGCCGACACAAATAGAGATGGTCGTATTAGCTTATCGGAGTACATAAATTTGTTGTCTTTGTTATTGAAAGGAACAAAGGAAGAAAAAATAAAATGTAAGTGAATATTCTTAATGAAGAAATTTTTTTCCATTCAAGACTTTATTCACACATCACAAATGATTTCTGAGACATGTTGAATATATTACTCTGGTTTCGTTAATGACGAAGAAGCGTTTCTGAAAGTTTCAAAAACGTTTCTGTTCACTCGATAAAACATAAAAATATTTTCTCTTTAATATTCACAATTAAAACACTTGATTAATGTTTTTAGAAAAAGGGCATAAACATTGCAATTTTTTTTTCAATTGCTATGGCGTGTGAACATCGTTGTGCTCTAGTATTTAAGGGCAAAAATTTGATGTAAATAAGAATATCGCCAGTGAGTGTTATAGCTCACGAATAAACGAATTCAATCTCGACTTAATCCCATGCAATTTGCACATTCTAGAATGAAGACATTCTAAAATAAATCCGTAAGAGAGCGTGTTTCTAAATGCTAAACTGTTTTGGATACATTTATTCATTATTTGGATACAAATTCAATATTCATTTTACGTTTCCGTTTTTGATTATTTTTATTTTGCTTCATTTTTCGATTATTCCATCAGTAATATTCAAAAGTATTCTTTTTGATACTATATTGAGAAAAATCTCTTGTATTAATGTAGTATTTTTTGGATAACATCACGGAATCTTTATTGAGACAATATTAAAATCATTATACATTTTCGGGACGGATCAAAATTTGTTTTAAAAAGGCAAAAATGAAGATTGGAATCACAGTAATTACAATGAATCAGTCAATTTGAAAGCTATCACATGATTTTTATATGAGAGCTTTGAAAATTAAAAAACGCATGCAATATGCATTGTTTTTAACAAAACATTTGGAATTGCCATTAAATGTCTCAGAAATGATATTTTTTTATCCAACACGTTTGTAATTTTCATCATATAACGCCCTTGTTAACAATTTATATTTATTATTACTTTTCATTGTTTCAGTCTGCTTTCAATGTTATGACTTGAATGAAACAATGCAACTCAGCCGAGATGTAATCATCACCCTCTTGAACCAGACGAGCACAGAAGTAAGTGATTTTTACATCCAGTTTTAGTGCAGCGTACATAACGCAGCGGTAAATTATAATTTGATTTGATATTTTTTTTTTTCATTTCTAATCGACTATATTATGAAACATTTTCCCTTTCCAGTGTTCATTCTGAATTATTTTTACTTTTACATGTAGTATCTGACTCTTCTTTTCACTTAAAAATACGTATCATTTTCACCTTTACTACAGAGCCGGCAAAAAAAAATCTTGGTATTGTAAATATGTACTTTTGAAATTAGATGACCCGAGTTCGAATCTCTGTGATGGCTGGTCGATACGTATTACGCATCTAGCTAGTACCAACCACAGCGCTGACGTGAAATATCTTCAGTTGTAGATGGATCATGGGTTCGAATCCACTTGTCGTCAGGCTAACCATGGGAGTTTTTCGTTGTTTTCCTTTCCTTGTAACGCAACTTTAGGTTAGTTCCCTCAAAAAGTCTTTCAGGAAAGCAAATTCCTTCCAATACTTGATCCTGGAATTTCCTAGTCCTCTAAATTGAGTTCTAAATTACAAAGCCACGGAGTTAAACATTTGTATTCGTAAACCACAAAATTGGGTAGGCTGCTCAACGACGGTTATGAAATACGGTTGAAAGGGTGAAGATTTTTTTCCAGCAATGCACCAAGTGCACAAGATAGTTAAACAAGAATACAAGATACCTTATGCATCATTATGCCTACATGCATCATTATACATCTTATGCATGTATGATTAAAAAAAATATTCAAAAATTGAAATTTGATGGAGTTTTACTTCTTTAATTGTATGTAATTAAAAATATCTTGCACTTCACAATTAGTCAAATTTTTGTTCCCAAATTCGATTTAGAAAATTTTTTGTAGGAAATGTTTTTTTTTAAATATAAACTTCCGGAAAAAAATTTCTGGAGCGAGTTAATACAGCTGTAGAGTATTTTTTCCGCACTGTACATAACAATCCTGAACTGACTCTGTCTCAAACTCTAATCCAGAATTTGTATAATAGTTTTACATTAATCTTAATGCTAAGGTAATCAGTAAGTTCATGTTCGCGTCAATTCTTCAAATTACATAACTTAGACATTAATCAAATTAAAATTTATTTCAAATATTAAATATTGTCATGAGGTTACGCTCAAAGTCATAAAGGATAAACAGCACCGGATTAAGAACCTCAGAGACCCTAAGCACTTACATTTTTGGGTGCTCCTTAAATGTAATTAAGAAGATCAATATAAATTTTAAAAAAAATATTTTTCTTAAATAAAACTGAAGTAAGTTTACAAAAATAAATAAATTTATCTATATTCGAATTTATATTATAATTTATATAAATTTATATTATATTCAAATTTAACCCTTTTTGCAGAGAATCTGGTGGAAATCGAAAATTTTCAATAAACTCCTTGAAAGTTTGTCAAGGCTATAATCACATGTTCTTCGATTTTAGAGCAAAATTAGAATAATTTCAACATTCTTGGTATTTAATTTTTTTAAATTTCCTGACCCACAAGCTATTTTTTTTCCTCATTTTAATTCTATAAAATAAAATCTAATTTTTTATTCAAACTTTCTGGGTTTTATGTAATATTTTCAAATATGCTTTTTAAATTTTTGCTAAAAATATTTTCACTGTGGGTGTCAAGTTAATATTTATGTAAAAAATAATTATCAAACTTAACCAATTTTTTTGGAGAATACAAAAACATACAGAAGCTTAATTTAGTATATAAATGAAATTAATAATAAATAAAAATAACTAACAACTCTTTTTTTCTATCTTTTAGAATGTTAAGAAACCTGTGACAGTTCTCCATGAATTTATAAAAGATTTCTCATTATTTAAGGCATTTATTATTATTATTAACGAAATTATTTCGCTTTTTGTGGCAAAATCGGATTATTTCCNTAATGAGAAATCTTTTATAAATTCATGGAGAACTGTCACAGGTTTCTTAACATTCTAAAAGATAAAAAAAAAGAGTTGTTAGTTATTTTTATTTATTATTAATTTCATTTATATACTAAATTAAGCTTCTGTATGTTTTTGTATTCTCCAAAAAAATTGGTTAAGTTTGATAATTATTTTTTACATAAATATTAACTTGACACCCACAGTGAAAATATTTTTAGCAAAAATTTAAAAAGCATATTTGAAAATATTACATAAAACCCAGAAAGTTTGAATAAAAAATTAGATTTTATTTTATAGAATTAAAATGAGGAAAAAAAATAGCTTGTGGGTCAGGAAATTTAAAAAAATTAAATACCAAGAATGTTGAAATTATTCTAATTTTGCTCTAAAATCGAAGAACATGTGATTATAGCCTTGACAAACTTTCAAGGAGTTTATTGAAAATTTTCGATTTCCACCAGATTCTCTGCAAAAAGGGTTAAATTTGAATATAATATAAATTTATATAAATTATAATATAAATTCGAATATAGATAAATTTATTTATTTTTGTAAACTTACTTCAGTTTTATTTAAGAAAAATATTTTTTTTAAAATTTATATTGATCTTCTTAATTACATTTAAGGAGCACCCAAAAATGTAAGTGCTTAGGGTCTCTGAGGTTCTTAATCCGGCCCTGATTTCAGACATCTATGCAACAAAATTTACTCCAAAAAAATAATACAAAATCGAATCAAAACTCAGGCCTATTTTTTTTTCTAAGAAATCTTTGGAACAGAACATATCAAGTTCTAAATTAATGGACAATGCACGATCTATTGATTTAAAGACGCACAAAAGTTAACCGTTCACGGGGCTTATTACTTGTAAAACATAAACTTTTGCCTCCATTTTGCATAAAATCTAAACAAGCAAGGGTTGCGGAATGGTTTTGCTGCTTGTTGCTGATATTTCTTTTTTACACACTCAAACAAGCAGAGCTCGTAGTGTAACAGTACTTTGGAATATTTTTCTTGAAGTCGAAGTGCAGTAAAAGTGGATGCAATTATTTACATAGAAAACGAAACAGTTATGATGCTTCGCTTACTATGCGTTGTCTATTGCTTTAATTCGCTGGATCAAATTTCACATTTTCTATAGGTTTTAGCCACATGTATTTGGATCCTGAGTTAAAATTTCTTTGTTTTTAGGACAAGGATGGAGATGGAATTCTTATTTTTGAAGAATATAAGAATGCAGCCCTTGAAGATTGGCTGTTGATGGAATCTTTTGGTCAATGCTTGCCTGATTTTAAGGTAATCTAATCACTTTAACGAGAAATCATACTATAAATATAATCATTTGTTTAATGCTTGTGTTTACATTAACATTTTTCTTGTTTCATAGTATCATGTGAAGTTTCTTGAACAGATGGAGGGAAAAGTCAATGACAAATGATTGAAAGCCTGCTTTACTTGAATATTGTGTGTCTAATTTGAAGAAAACTAGTTAGATCAATAAGATTTTTTATCAATAAAAAAATGCTTGAATAAACTTTCACAGAATGGTTTGATTTGTGTGGATAAACATAAGTCCTGATTATCTCTTTTTTTTCTTATTTACGTAACTTGACTGTACTAAAATAAAGCAGTACTTCATAAACGTACTTTAGTCACCTTCTATAGTTATAATGATTACAAATATTCACCTTAAAACGAGGTTACTTCGGGACATTTTTTTATATCTTTAAATTGATATCGAATATAGGTACGAAATTTTTAAAGTGTCTCCAAAACCTTTCAATGCGTTTTTTTCTTTCTTTTTTTTAAATTTTTTTCTAGACGAGGATAAAAAAAATGGGGAAAAAATTACTAAATTTCCTTAATTATATTTAAGAATAATTTCTATTATAGTTTATAGTTATTAATTTGATTATTATTGGGGATTTTAACATTATTATTAATAATTAGATTGCTATTATTTATAATTAAAATTTAAAATAAGTATTAAAAAATTTTATTTGTAAGTAGGATTATTTTTATTTATTTGATTTCTCTTGTACCTGGCAAAACTAGGTGTTTAGACGATGTCCAATGTTTTACCCTTTTTTTGCCTAAACAAAAATTGATGCCTCTTCACTCTTATGGATGTCTGAGCTACAGTTAATGCTTAACGCCAATGTTAAAATAAAATTGCTACCGATATTTTGAAAAATTAAAAGTAACCGAATTTCAAATATGTCTAACTGTTTTCATAACACTTAAACAATATAAAAAAAATTTCTAATATTATATCTTATAAAGTTTTATTAATGCACAGATCATATCTGCCAACCCCCCTTTTCTATAATTCTGGTAATTCGTAATGAAGTTGCAGAATAAATGACACACTGCAGTAAAAAAAACTCATGATAAACATTATTTCACAGCATAATTATTTTATTTTAAAAGAAAATATACCATTCATTTAATTATAAAAGCAATATATTCTTACCTTCATTGTTTAATATAAACATCACGATAATTTTTTTGGTAAAACACAAGTTAAAAAACATATATTTGTCTTTAAAAAAAAAATATTTTTTTTATTTATTCCAAAAACCAACAGTTGGCCTATGTAGTTTTATTTTATTTATTATTATTTCTAAATAAAAAATATTTCCTAAGACTTTGCAGTCATTTCATGCAGTTAAGAGTTTTTTTCTCTCAATTGCAATTTTTTGCTTGCATGCAACTATATTTTAGAGCAATAAACCAAGAAATCTTTAGATGCTTTTTTGAAAGATTTTATAAAATGATCAGTAACAGTTAATAATGTGTATATCACACCACGAACACGCACAGAAGGGATGAATCACACTGGTAGATATCTCTCCCCTAACTTCCCCTGTCGTCTCACAACAACCAACAAGAAGACTTTCAGCCATGACAGATTTAAAATGCACCTTGCAGCGTATGTATATACACAATATTTTGTTTTTGCTGTCAGGATCGAACTTAAGGTTCCAGTTTTAAAACTGAGTGGTGTCATTTCCATTTACAGTGTCCAGCTACACATCTCCAAATTTAATTGTTCCTTCCTAGTAGATTAGCTTGAAAATGAAGCTAAAATTATAAAAAAATTAAACTTAACATCCGAAACTCTAATTTTAAAACTATTAACCATTGAATATTTATTTGAAACTATAATTATATAAATTGAAAATATTTTTAAAAACTTGTGACATTTTTTTTAATAAAATTTGAAGGGTAGATTTCCATATCAATACCTGCATAGAAATATACCAATAGCACCACACAGGAATTGAAAAACATCACAGAGGGAAGGTAAATACCTTTGAAGCGTTTCATTCCAGCTGCCGGCCGATTTAAACTATCGTGAAGAAGTTACAACTTACAACTCAACAGTTGAAAAAGTTTTTCTAGTTTCTTATCGTTCGCGAACCGAATTTACTTCCACTAGTATTTTCTTATATGCCATCTTATTTTCTTATATACCATAATATTTTCAAATACGTCATCTGGGGAGAGAAGACCGGATCAGAGTTGGCCGTCTATTACAGTAATCGATTACAACTGTAATTGATTACAGATAATTACAGCTATGTAATCAATTACTTGTAATCGCGATTACAAGTAATCAAAATTTTTGATTACATCAGAGTAGAGCGAAAATGTAATCGATTACATCGTTGGCCAACTCTGGACCGGATCCATGTCCTGACCACCTTTTCCTCTTCTTCTCATATCAGTTATATAGAAATGTACTACGATAATTTCCCCTTTTTTAAAAAAAAAATTTCTGAATTTCCTCGGTACTTTCTTTTAGAACTATATTCAATGTAGTTCTCAGTTCCCAACTAAGAAGTTTTTATTCTACTTGAAAATCAAGACCGAAACCAACATACTTCCTGCTTCCATGACTCTCCACTCGCTAATAATGAAAGCGTGCGAAGTGTTGCCATAGGTAAAGAGTTCAACTCTAAGTCACCTGTAGCCCGTTTCGATTTCCAATATTTAATTTATTGTTTTCTTTCATAAATAAATGTTTATTTATTAATTATATTGGGTGCCCTTTTGCAAAAAAGTGGCCCTGTACCAAAAATAATGAAATAGATGATTATTTTAAAATTTCGAATGTTAGAGAAAATACTATTTAATCTTATACAATATTAAAAGATAGGATTTAGCTCAGAAGTCTAGCGTTTTCTAGCGCAGTATTATAATGCATCTTTCTAATGTTAAATAATATCGTTTTGTTACCTGGATTAGCTTATCAATATTAATACCAGAAACCATTTCATACGGAATTTGACTATTTTCATCGCAAACAGCAAAAGAAACACAATCCAATTACAATTTTCGGTAAGTGTCCCAAATGCATAGTTATCTGCATAGTTATCTGCACCAGCCACATGTTGCATGACCTCATTTAACCTTACATTAGTGAGTACTGTTTTCGCCTCCCATAATTTCAACCGTTGTTTGATGACTTGTACAAAAAGCGTTTGATCGGAATACGTTTGAACGTTGCGATCTCTTAGAGCCAGAAAAATTCACGCACAACTAGATTAACAATATTATAAATATTCTGTTTTTGATTCTCTTGATCTGCTCTACTTCCGGTTAGAAAGTGCAGCTGAAAGTATGCTACAGCTAATTTTTCGAGATGTTATTTTCAAACAGATAATTTTGCTTTTAATAAAATAGATACATCATACAATTTCTGAGCTCAAATTTGCTGTACTTCATAAAATATTAATGATATTAAGTAATTCTGGTGAGTTTGAAGTGAAAATTTGTTTTAGTTATTTAGAGATGTATTATTAAAAGAGGTGATGTGTTTGCTAGATTTAGAAAGAACTCGCTTTTTCGGCAGTCCTGACTTGACCTTTTTTACTTACTTATTACTGTTTGCTCTTGATTCAAGTCGTGCACCATCATACATTAGTGTTAGCATATTGTTAGAGCATGAAGATGAAGTTCATTTTACAAATCATCACTTAGGTTTAAATTTTGAAGTCGGTGTATTGTTAACAAGGCAAGAAGTGTTTTATAACGATTCTTTTTTCAAATGACAATTCTTACGCCTTGAAATAACTGGCCTTCAAATACCAGTTCTTTTAACAATTCTTCTCTTAAACAAAAAGAATTAATCGAATAACAAATAGATGTATACAAGAATTACTACTTAAGAGAGTCTCAAAACACAATGAACATGTTGTGAGTCTAATATCTTCAAAACATGCGGAAAACAGTAACGCGGAAGTATAGGCTCCCAAGAACTTGCAGCGCTCCCTAGTGTAAAAAACATCATCCATAGATGAACTTTTTATCTCTATAAAAAAAACTTCTGCAAAACACATAAAGCTTGCAAACTATGAAAATCAAGGGCCACATTCAGAAAATAAACACTGTAAACAAATTGATAATTTAAGTTAAATGCTATTTCTACACTAGGAAGCGTTGCAAGCTCGATACCGCCTATACTTCCGGGTTACTGTTTCCGGTGTATTTTAAAGCGATTTAGCTCTCAACGTGATCAAGACTGAAAGCATGCTGTTTGTGAGATAATTAAGGAATTATTATGAAGCAATTGTTACCTTGTGTTACGGATATACAATCTTCAAAACTAACGTATGTCTAAACAGTGATTTACAATGCCACATGAAATAACTAATAAAGGTGTCGATATATAATAAAGAAAGAATGAAAAACAATACGCTTATATCATTTTATTAATGTTTAAATAATAAAGGGTATATAATTTTAACATTAATTGTGAAATAGCAGTGCTAAGTAGTAGAAACATGTGGTTTGATCAATAATAAATATATAAACTTCCGTAAACTTTCGTAAATATTAAACATTTGAAAAAAGAATCGTTATAAAACACTTCTTACCTTGTGAATAATATATGCTAACTTTCAAATTTAAACCTGAATTACAATGTATAAACTTAATCTTGCTTCTTGAACAATATGCTAACACTAACGTAATGATGCACAGCTTGCAACGAAAACAAAAAGTAATAAACGAATGGAAAGAGGCCAAATCAGGACTGCCAAAAAAGCGAGTTATTCAAAATCTAGAAACCATGTCACCTTTCTTAACAGTATATCTATAAATAACCAAAACAAATTTTCCCCTCAAACTCACCAGAATTACTTAATAACATTAATATCTCAAGAAATACGACAGATTTGATCTCAGAAATTACCTAATTTATTTCTTTTATTGAAAACAAAATTATCCGTTTGAAAATATCGCCTCGCAGAATAAGCTGTAGTAAGCAGTTGCAAACTTTCTAACCGGAACTAGAGCAGGTATTGAGCTCAAGATTGTTATTGTTTACATTTATATTGAAAACACCATTCATTATGAGTCCCGCAGTGGACTGATCGTTAAGACACGGTTCCCAGCAGATCACCGAAATGAAGCATCACTGCCGACGGTCAGTGTGCGGGTGGGTGACCACTTGGATCAGTCTGCGTAGGGGCCGAGGGTGTGCGGTATTGGTCCTCGTTAAACTGTTCTACCGTGAAGTGCTCGACTTCGCGTGCAGGTCGTCGGGCTACCAAAGCGGGGGTGTCATCCCCTCTGCAGAGGATCAAAATTGGGATGGCATGTCTTCAGATTATTCTCAGGGGTGTTTCCCAGACCATCGCCAATAGCCCACTGTGCAGCTCTAGTGTGACGTAAATGAACAACAAACACAACAACCATCCTTTATGATTCTATGCATACAGCAAATGGCCATTTTTACTGCTTGAAATTTTATCTCTTGTAGAAAAAATGTATGTAAATAAGAACCTGATTGGTGAGTGTTACAACGATTAACATTTTTTTCCCACCAATCTGGTTGCGATTCGCAGGTGATTCTAAATGTATTATAGTACCTTAGAATCATTCTCACATAAATTGATTTTTATGTGCATTTTAATGAAAACCAAATCGGAGAAATATTTTTACCTGAGAAAAGCTTACCAATCAGGTTCTCCTTCCCACACACTGAGAATGCATATTTAGTGAAAAAGTTGGTACTGAGGCTTCTCATTTTACTTGACGTTGATTGGCCATGCTTAGATCATAAAGTAAAAACGGTCCCTAAGTTGCACCGATCTAGAGAGAAGAGCTTCGTAAGTTTGCTGACTGAAGTTAGTGCTGCTAATACTACTTTTATATTACTAAAAAACGTAATCTCGTAATCGCAACCGTCTGGAAATTTGTAACCCCGTCTCGTTGTAAAATATTTACCGTTCACGTGGATTAAACCGCGGCTTCATTAATTTTTAAGGTAAAAAAAGTAACAAAATCTTTTATATTATTCATTTTCTCTTGTTTTTTTTACTTATTTGCTTCTGATTTTTTTCCCATTCAATTATGTTTTCTGTTATTTAGTCATGGGTCGTGTAATTAGAAGTCAGCGTAAAGGTGCTGGAACAACATTTAAAAGTCATACTAAACATAGAAAAGGAGCTCCTAAATTAAGAGCTGTAGATTTTGCTGAAAGACATGGATATATTAAAGGAATTGTTAAGGTATGATTGCTTACATTGCCTTTGAAGTTTCTATTGTTTAAAATTAAATGTCTTATATACTATAAAAACCAAGCAAAGTTGCAATATTATATTAAATGTTAATTAATCTCGCAAATTGATTGTCGATATTTTAAACAGGTTATATATTTTATGTTATTTTTAAATTGTATGATAATTTTGATTAACTGATAAGTTAGTTAAACTCAATCGGGGTTTGTTTTAGTTAAGCCTAACAATGTGTGAATTACACTTTATTGTAATCTGTTATTTTATATCAATTATATAATTAAAGCAAAATTTTATTCATATATAGAGATCGGTACTAATCTTGTATGTTGTTTTTATGTTTAGTGTATATTTACATTTTTAGCAATCTCTTGAAATTTTCTCAAGTGAAATTGTATATTTTGTGTTGTCTACAGCTAATTGTCTTCATACTCTATTTTGAGTAAATTGAATTTAATCTGATCTTGTTTCTTACTCTTAAGCTGATAGATTAAAAATCGTTTTTTGGGTACATAATCATTTAGTTAAGGATTTTGAAATAAAATTTTATGTAGTGATGTTTTATTTCTTGAAGTATATTGTAGCAGAGCTCATTCTAGGCAGGGTAAGCAGGGCGCAGCACCCTGCTACCCTTTTAGTCAAAAGAATCCACCCTGTTGCCCCTGAAGTAAATTAGTGCCCTGATGTAATAGACTCTATACTCTTTTTGCCCTTTTTTTCCTAAGTCCTTCTTTATTCCCCCCCCCCAAAACTCTGCAATGGATTTCCTAAACTTTTGTTATTTTCAACTCTATTTATTTAGTTTGTCATTGCTGTCAATACATAGATTTATATGGGAAGGGAAAAATAGCCATCACAACCCCTTGTTGCACTTGTCTTTGAAAGTTTGCAGTTACTTCCACTATCATTAAACCATAATTATTATTAATCATTTTAATTATTAAATCATAACTATAGACACTTAAAAACATACATTTATTATTTTATTAATATATGCATGCATTTTAAATAAATTACTAGCTAATTAGCTCATAATATATGTTAATTTATTGATACAAATTAGTAATTTATGATTGCTTTGCTACTTTTAGTAAATTAAAATAAAAAATTCTTTTACTAATTGACAATGTCTTTTAATTGAACGTGTAATGCCCATAGAAGGAAATTATTGCCTTTTTAGAACAATAATGCCCTTTTTTTAAACTTTTGCACCCTGCCCAGTGTTTTCACTACAGCGCGAGAATCTCACATATTTTTTTCTTTTCTCACATTAAAAGATGATTACCGCAAGAAATTCGCGCATTCTATAAATAAATGTCAAAATTCGCGAATTTCTCACACTTTGGAAAAAGTTTCGAACTACGCCATTTAGAATAAAATCCGTTTCACTTTTCTTCCTGGATCTTTCATTATTTTCAACATCTGCCCCGTTATCTAGCTTCTCTATTTACCAGTATTGTTCAGAACCTTTTCGAACAACAGAACACAACCACGGAACCCCTTTCAGAACGCATTTCTCTGTAACCACACGTTTACCGTAGGTAAGGTTTCTTCATGTAAGACATTCAAATTTTTTATGTGCTAATGTAAGATGGACAAATACCTTGTAAAGGCAAAATCTTCTATGATGATGCACCAAAAATATTCAATGCTTTTAAAAATAGAAGACGTTAAAAATGTATTATAATTAAAGAAATGATTTTTTTCAAGAGTTTTTGTGTTTTTTTAGTTTTTAGGAATCTCACATAACTTTTTGAAATCTCACCCTGTTTTTGAGAAAGGGTGAGAAATTCTCACCCATTTTTTTTCTATGATGAAAACACTGCTGCCCTTTTCTCTGTCTAGAATGAACTCTGATTGTAGCTTCACTATAATTTAGTTTTAAAAAAAATTCTCACTCAGTGATATCTACTTAGCCTGGAATGATTTAAAATGTTTTTACTAATACAGTAAATTCCTAATTTTACTAATTAATGAGGTTTTGGAATAAAAATTTATCTACAATTTCAGGATAAATATCTTCTATGACCTAATTTTTTAATTTACATTTTTGCTAGTATAGTTGAAATGGATCAGAAATGATCTGCTTGCATCTTCTCTACTATAAGCTTATGAAAACAAAAGAAATTTGCAGGGCCCACGCTAAGGAATTCAAATTATTCGTCAATAAATTTTTAAAAAAGTTTTAGAAGGTAGCAAATCTTAAAAATTTATTGTGATTTATCTATTGCCATGAAGAACTTCAAAATGCAACTTTAATAAACTGAATTACTTTGTTAAATACAATTTCAAATAAAGTCATTTTCTAGTTTATGAGTAATAAAGCTATGAATGGCTGTTGAGAAAAAGGAAGAGATAAATTGGGGTTAGATTTTCATGTTTCATAGACTCGAGCAGTAATATAAGGATATGAACCTTAGGCAACAGTATATTATTGTCTCCTAAAAAGCACATTTTCTGCAACAAAAAAGAAATAGTTGTATGATAAAATACATCTTGCTATCACTTAATTTTTATTAGTGGCACAAACTGTCAGGAAAAAAAAAATTCACATGATACTGTGTGCCCAACAACAAACGTGATGTACTGTATTTTAGTTTAGTCTCATGCTTACTAATCTTTGATTGCTTACATTATCTGGATTGGCAATTTAGTATGTCACGTGACATATCTAATTCTAGTTACTGGAATCGAATTAAGTAAAAACAAGATTTGAGGAAGAAAAATTCGGTAGAATAAGTCGTGCCAGCCTAAGGCTTGCTGTTATAAGCCATTCTGGTTGACGATTTAGTTTTGACATGGCGATTTACGTGTTTAAAACGATATTGCACAGTATAGAGCAGTTGCTAAGCTTAGACCTCTAACATATATATAGTGTTTTGAAAGGTTAAGCAGAAAACTATTTAAATTTTTTGCAAAAGTATTTAGCAGAACTGAAACTATTTTGTATGTGCAGCATTTCAATTAATTGATCGACTTTATTTTAATTATCTTTTAATACATGTTTGTTGCTTTGTTATGATTTATGTAAGTATTAAATTTTGCTATAGGAAATTATCCACGACCCAGGCAGAGGTGCACCATTGGCTGTAGTAGTATTTAGAGATCCTTATAGATACAAACAAAAGAAAGAATTATTTATTGCCGCTGAAGGAATGTACACTGGTCAGTTTATATATTGTGGAAGAAAGGGTATGTTTATTTTTGGAAACATAATTAATGCTTAAGAAAGAATTTTTTGTGAATGACTAGTAAATAGACTGATTAAATAAATACAAACTGGCTTTAAGTAAGAAAAAGTTCTGAAATAATAGTCATTAAATTATGCTTTTGAATTTATTGGTGAATTGTGCTTTTTTTTTCCAGTTCTTCGTCTCCCCTTCTTGAAAATAGCATAGTATGTATTAATCTCACAAAAAAATCTGGATATTTTTGTAAAATATTGTCCTGGTTTTATTCCAAAGTGCAACAAAGCCTGAAAAACAGTTAAAATTATTACTATGAATAATACTCTCATATAACATACCACTCATTTCAAATAATGTGAAAACTGTTCGGCAAATTGTACTTCCTCTAAAATGAAACCTACTTTTGTTAACTTTGAACATGACTCTGATTTATTAAGTTAGAAAGTTATTTAAACATTTTCATTTTTAAATGTAATCAAAATGCATTTATTTAAGAATATTCTTGTTACAAAATAATATTTCATATATTTTGTTATATATATATTAAATATAAAATCAGGCCCACTCCATCCTGGAAAATAGTAGGTATACTGAAACAGGCTCTTTTGGATGAATGACTGTGAGAAAAAAAAGAAATTATGTTAATATTTATAAATGTTTTGTATATAAAATGTGTCAAATGTTTCATTAAAATTATTTTAAGTATGGTGTTGAATTGTCTGTAAAAAAAAATTGAATTCATATTTTCTCCCTCCTGAGCTTATATCCTAATGAAAATTATTGATAATTAATATGAAAAATTTCAAATTTTGTCTCAACTATTTGTTTTTCATCTAAAGATATAAAGGCAGTGGTGATTAATAATTTGAATAAAGACAGGGGTCTGTTTAGAGAAAATTTGGGTCCGTTAATGGACCCTTCACTAAATAACTTGAAAAGTTTTTTACAATAATACCCTATTTCCACAAATTCACAAAAGCTGGACCCTGGTTGAAAGACTGTGACTTAACAGTTCTTTTATATTTACAAATTACAAGTACATGATTTTTTACAGAAACAGGGCCTTTCACAAAATATCTGGACAGACCCCTAAAAAATACAAACTCGTGTAAAATTACATTTAAGTTTCATTAATTAGCATTTGATGTCGTTTATTGGGTCTTATACAGGAATGTGATTCTTCAGCGGATCCGCTTTTTTTTCCCAGATTTTTCCTTATCTTCCTCTCTTTTTTTCATTGATTTCCGCACAGAAAAAATTTTTATGCTGTAAATTCTATTTTGTTGAGAAAAAGACAAAATTTCTTCCACGGAGCGGAAGTATTGAAGCCCCCAATAAACCTTTCTTCACGTGTCAATCTGCTAGCTGGAGTTAAAGTGGTTGACCTTGGTAAAACAATGCCGTCTCCTACTCCGCTACTCTCTTATCATTTCAGGGATGAAAGATTATTTAAAATTTCCTACCATGTTCCAAAAACTTTTGGGGAGTCGAACGATATAGTCGGACTTGCGGCGAACTCCCCACCCCCTGCAGTAGCCTCCTGGGTAGAATTTCGGCGTGTGCGCCGTTGCCTTGACAACCTCGTCTTCCGCTATAGATTGGAAAAAAGAAAAAAAGTCCTAAGAAGTTTCGGCCGCTAATATTTGATTTCTTTTGATTGGCTGATTTACAGAATTTTAAATATTCTGGACTGGGCCAGAATCTGCTAAAATTGTGATTCTTATTTAGATGATTTTTATGTAAATCATCGATTTTCGTATTTAACTGATTTAAAAGTTACTTGTTGAGATTCGTTTTTACACGATTTAAAAATCATACTCGCAATTCCCATTCGCGCAATTTAAGAATTCAATATTGCGATTTGTATTTAAGCGTTTTTAAGACCCAATATCACGTTTTGTATTTAAACGTTTTTAAAATCCAGTGTCGCAATTCGTATTCATGTATATTTTTAAATTTCAATGTTGCGATTCGTTATCACGTGGTGGTAATATTAAACATCGATTTTCATATTTATACGCGGCTTACTCGTTGCGATGAGTGTTCGCAGACTCTAAAAATTATGCGTCATGATTCTTATTTACGCTATTTAAAAATCCAATGTCGTTATTCTTATTCAAGCAATTTTAAAAACCACCATTGCGATTCTTATTCACGCTATCTTAAATTCCCACATCGCGATTTTAAAATCCGATATTGTCTTATTCACGCGATTTTTGAAATCAAGCATTGCGATTCTTAATCTATGGCCTCTAAAAATTGTGTGAAAAATGAACTTTCTTGTCCTATCAACACTGATAATCAAAAGTTTGTCAAATGCAGTCTACAGATCAGTCATGTTAATAAAAGACCATCGAAAAAACAAAGAACTGATGAGAAAGTCCATAAAGGTCCTTTGACCATTAAAGAAATGTTTTTTACAATGATGTGATACATAAAATTGTGCTTATGCATAATTACTCAATGTTATCTAAATTATTAAAAAAATATTATTTTAATCAAGATTTTATTTAAGAACATAATTACCATTTATTTATATTTATTTGAATAGATAATAATGTAATCATTATCAGATTGGCTATTGAAATCATATAATTTTTTCTTTTGCACGTTTAATGCTTCAGTTATAAACTTCCTCTTTTTTGTGTTTTTGTCAATCACATACCTGCTTAAACATATGAGTTTAAATGTTTATGTGATTACCATGTAATACTCTGTTCTGGTGACTAGTGATTGAGATGAATCCCTTTTTCCTTTTAGCATAAATAATTAAAAGTTAAGACCAGGGATTTTTTTTTTTTTCCTGACTGATTGTGATTGCCATGTATTCTGGATAGTTAAATGTTTAAATTTTTAAGATTACCTTCAATTTTGTTTAATCCTTAAATCTTTCTTTTATAGCCTTTTTACAAGTTGGCAATGTCTTACCTGTTGGTGGTATGCCTGAAGGTACTATTATCTGTAATCTTGAGGAAAAATCTGGTGATAGAGGTCGATTAGCCCGAGGTTCTGGAAACTATGCCACAGTAATTTCACACAATCCAGATGCTAAGAAAACCAGAGTAAAATTACCATCTGGGGCCAAAAAAATTTTACCATCTTCCAACAGAGCCATGGTTGGTAAGTTATAAGTTTTGTTAATGTCCCATGAGTTATTCGTGCTGCTCAAACAGTCATTGTTTTCCAAAGTAATGAGAAATAAAATATTTTATTTATATTGAATTCAAATCTAATTTGCTTTATGTTTTTGCTTTAAACTAATTCAAATTCTTAATGGGTAGGAAATTGTTGTAAGCGAAATAGTAAAAATATATTAATAATGTGTATAATTGAAGTAAATTGCATTTAATCAGCATAAGAACATTATTACGTTTCATTTGTAAAATTCTGTTTATTAGACTGGTTGAAAAAATTTATTCTATTAAAGATAAGCTATAATAAAATTGCAGAACTTAATTGACTAAATAAGTTTTTAAAAAAAATATATTTTTATAAATGCATATTAAATGATATTAAATTATAAAAACATAATATGAAAGCATATAAGAGAAATTGACAAATATATGAACAATCCATAATTAAAGTAATAATTAATTTAAATCAAATGGAATAAATAACTTTAAATTTTTTTCTTCATATTTCTGTACGAACCTTCATATTTCTGTTTGAAAGTTTCGAAGAAAAGGATGTCAAAAATTTTATGAGAAGTGTTATGTCTTTAACTAAAATTATTTTCCAGGTATTGTTGCTGGTGGAGGTCGTATTGATAAACCTATTCTAAAAGCTGGCAGAGCTTATCACAAATATAAGGCAAAGAGAAACTCATGGCCTAAAGTTAGAGGTGTTGCCATGAACGTAAGTGTTAATTTTTTTTTTTTTATTCCATTTGTCAGCTTGGAGTTCATAAAGAAAAAATTGTTAGAATTCAGACTTTGTCTCTTTCTTTTTCCCTTCTTATTTGCATCATAAACTGATACATCTAGATTTTTTTTTCAAATAACAAGAGCTTATATTTTTTATCAAGAGTTTTCAGTTATTTTTATGTCTATTTACTGTAAAAAAATGTATTTGATCTTGTATAATAGAATTAGGATAATAGTAACTTGTAAATAGTATAATAAAAATTTGAATTTTAATTCAAATATTTATAAATTATGCACATCTTAGAAATTGTAAACTATTCTAAAATTGACTCTTTTTTTTTTAATTTATAGATGTTTAGTTACATACAAGGCTAGTTATATATTGTAATTAAAAATGTTAAACCAGATTTAATCTTCTGATTATCTCTTTAGTAAGAAATTATTCCAAGTTAAATTTTTATGAATAACTGCAATTAGAAACAGCTACAAAAAGAATTTTTTAATTTGAAGTGAATTATTATTATTTTAGTTTGAATTGTTATTTAAAGTGGCTACCACACGTAGTTCACCTTTTTTCCCTCCATAACTTCTCTGGCATGTCTGATAAATTGATCTGCTTCTTACTTCTAATGTTTCAACAATCATTAGCATACTATTTTTTTAAAGAAAAGCTTAATTCTATTATGAAAATGATTCCTAAAATAAATGCTTTATTATAATGTGCATGCATACCGTGCATCGGTTATATGATACCCTTTTATCACGATTTTGCAAAGCATTCTATTGTTCTCATATAAAGACTGATTTATATATGAATTTTGAAGTTTAACCAATATTTAGATGTATCTGGTGTAAATATGTGTTTAATTCCTCAGTTTTAAAAGCACATAATACTATTTATAATTTTTTTAATGTTATTTTTTATTTTGTAGCCTGTTGAACATCCTCACGGTGGTGGTAACCATCAACATATTGGTAAAGCTTCTACTGTACGAAGAGATGCGTCTGCTGGTCGCAAGGTATTGTATTGTTTATTTCTATATGCTGTCATTTTTTTGCTTCAAAAGGTCGTAAATATTGATTCAGTTCAAGTTATTGGACCACCACTACACTTAGTTTTTTTTTCCTCTAAAAAACAGGGTGGCCACCCACCTGGAAGACCTTGAAAACCTGGAATTATCAGGGAATTTTTTTTATACTGGAAATATCAGGGAAATTTGGATAAAAACCTGGAAAAATCAGGGAATTTTAAAGAAAAACTGGAAATTTTTTCTTTGATCATTTTTTTTCACCAATTTAAATTATTTACTAATTTTTGTAATTTAAATTATTTCATCCATTATACCCACTTTTTTTAAACGGAAATGTATCGTCAAACAGTTGAAATATCATCAACTTAGCGATACTTTGCTTGCATCAAAATTTACTCCATTACGGCTCTGTTAAACTAGAATGCCACATAGAATTCTGTCACGGTTGCTAAGCGAATGTAGAAACCTTTGACCGCTATGGGACTGTGCAATTTAGGAAAGATTCTGGTGGAGGTGGTAAAAGGGATTAGGAAATTAGCTTCTGTTTTTAAATTCTGTCCTTGCGCTGAATCCATTTATGGCTTAAGTTTGTTCCGATGCTTTGGTGGTAATTTTTTTTTTCTATTTTGACAAAATGTTTTTGTATTTTTAACTTTATGAAATTCTCCCAAAATTAGTTGGTTATAATTTAATAATAATAGACTTAATATTGCACCCTTTTTCTGAAAGCTTTTCTACTCCCATTTAAAGAAATCTATGAATTATTTTTTCTCAGCAAACCAACCAATCACATTTTTTTGCAATCGCCAACAGCAATGTTTCTCGACAAATCTTTACAATTGTTGCATTAATGATTTTTTATTCAAAATTTTGTACCAAAACATTAGAAATTAAATAAAAAATCTTGCCAAATTGTCAAAATAATTTTTTTTTTCAGGATGATGTGTTAAAAAAATAATTTTTTGAATGAAGTATTTTATAATACCGACTCTTTTCTTGTACACATCCTACACTTTATAAGAAAAAAGAAACAAAAACCTGGAAATTTTAAGATTTTTATCTGGAAAACCTGGAAAAATCAGGGAAATTTGAAATCTGATTTGAGTGGCCACCCTGAAAAAAGCTTGATGTCAAATATTTCACAAAAGAGAGAATAGCATATGTAAAATTAAAGTTGTTATATTGTCAATTTAGATCAGTGTTTCTTAACCTTTTTGGTATAATGGCCCCCTTTTAAAGATTTTTAAGAAGTCACGGACCACCCCCTGTGAAAAAAATTATTGCAAAAAACATCAATTATTAGAAAACATTTAATTTTAATAGTATACAAAAATTTTAATTTTTAATGTGAAGGTTGTTGCTGCTTTTCCTTAATTAATAAATTGAGGGGGTGGTATTCGACAAAGCAACGCGCATATCATGTTCAACATTCAATCGATTTCGATGTTTTGATTTTATTGTCACACGTGTGGAAAATCCTGCTTCATTCACTGTAGCAAATGGAATTATAGCTGCCATAGCTCGCTTTACAAGCAATGGGTAGGCTTCCAAACATTTTAAAAATTAGGAGTAGTCAGCGGACCCCCAAAATATGACTCATGGACCCCTTAGGGGTCCATGAACCACAGGTTAAGAAACCCTGGTTTAGATGATGTATAGTTTACAAGGCAAACTAGGAAGTGTCAAATGCAAACTTTTGGTGCTTGTAATTTTGATCAAATTTAGCATTGAAGTAAGAATAGTAGTTATTGGTGCAAACTGGTAAGCAATGTAAACTTTTTTTTTATCTGGTTTTCCTTGTGTTGACGCTATTAAGTGAAAGGAGAAGGGGAAAATATTATAAAATAACGAAAATAAGTATGCAGAGTCCTGCAGTTAATGGGGAAAATATGGTACTCTGTTTATATTTATTTTTGGAAGGAGTTTAAGAAAAGTATTTTGTAAGAATTAAAGTAGTGGCATAATTATTGGTATTATAATTTGAATTAAATATATTAATTATTTTTATTCTACAATTTCAACACTCTATTTTTAGGTTGGTCTTATTGCTGCTCGCCGAACTGGTCGTATTCGTGGTGGAAAAACATCAGTTTCAAGCAAAGATGATTAGATATGAAATATGTAAATAAAAAAATTTCCAAAATTGTGTGTTATTTATTTGAAATATTTTTGTGTTTTGTTGCATAGTGCAAATTAGATTGAATAATGGCTGACTCTACCTCTTTCACTGTTTTGTGCCTTTGTGGTCAGTTTGTATACAATACATTTTGAAACTTTATTTAATATAAGAGCCATGTCCAATATTTTTAAGAAGTGAGTCCTGTAAGTAATACAGCTGGTCAGTGACATTTTACTGCCCAACAGATTCTTTAACCTTAAATTTAAATCCAAGGTTCTTTGTTCGATATTCAGGGCTGATTGTGCTCCGGAAAAGATCCGGATTTCCGGAATTTTCGCTAACAGTGATCCGGAAGATTCCGGAGATCGAAGGTCCAGATGTTTCAAAAATTCATTGATCACAGAAGTTTCCGGAATTCATTGATCAATGATCACATTCATTGATCACAATTTTCAAAAGTGGAACTTAAAAACACAGTTTATTTTATTTGTTTGCAAGGGAGAGCCAGAGAGATACTTTATAGGCTTGTTATAATCATAAACTAAAGAAAGAAAGACATTATTATAAATTTTAATTACTTCTCCAGGTCATCATAGGTCTGTGTAAAATTATAAATATATTTTAAGTAAACTAACAAAAATAGAGAAAAAGGAAGAAAAAAAATCTTGTTTAAATTTTTTTCAATTTAAACTGTCTTTTTTTTTAAACTCAAGAAATTTTCCGGAATTTTCACATGGGCTCGCAATCACCCCTGGATATTACATTTTACGATATCACATGTTAGATGTTTTTTCATTGGTTGTTTACCTGTAATATTAATCCTTTCTTAGTATGTCTCTTACCTGTTGGACTCTTTGATAAAAAATCACAAGGTGAGCTTTTTCTGTGTGATTTTATATGAAGTTGTAGTTGGTCACAGAGATTAGATTAAAATTTAATGCCAATAGAATTAACTAATCGCTAGTTCTGTGAAACTACTATGTTGATACAATAAAGCAATTCATGATTATTAAATTGAAAGATTTTTTTAATATGTTAGATACATGAAGCAGGGCTCGAAAAAACAAAAATTTTACCCGTCCTCGAGGACGGCTTGTTCAACAATGCACCCGTCCTCCGTTAAAACTAACCCGTCGCTTTTAAATAAATAAAAATATAATTTTCTCCTATTTATTACAAACATTTATATAAATTGCACAATGAATTAGTCGTTACTAGGATTACATTATACAGTAATAAAAGAAATACTAGGTTACTAATAGTAACCTAGTATTTCTTTTATGAAATAATTTAAATGACAAGGGTCAAGTTATCTGGAATGTCAAGTTATCCGAGGGTACTGCGTTTTTTAAATGAATCAAATATGACGTTTGCCAGTTCCACAATCAAGCCAATGATTTACAGAGGTTTCTGAACAGAAATCTGAAAGGGGTTTTCCATTTAGGTAGATGTTCATAATTGCTTTTAAAGCTTCTTGTTTAAGACCAGTACGTATTGTGTTTTTTTGTAAGTTTATTGCTGCAAAGCCCCTTTCAACCGCTGCAGTACTCCCAGACAGAGAAAACATCAATATATGCGCAGTATGTTGCTGTATTGTGGGTCATTTTGCTGCCTTGTAACTTACAAGACTCTTGTAAGATAACAAAAATTGAAAATGTATCACGAACATTAACGGGAAAATGGCCGTCCGCGCGGACGTCGGATTCGAGAAATTCGTTGTCCGCGGAGAATTTTTGACCGTCGAGGACGGGCTGTTTTTCGAACCCTGACATGAAGTCCCTGAGAAAAAAAATTTTTCACATGATTAAAACCAGAATAAACCATTAGTCTTTAAAAGGTGTTAATTTTTTGTTAAATAATTTAACAATGCACCCTGTTATATTGATATCTTTTCTGGAAATGATGTATTTTGGATAAATTAAATCTTTAACTTAAAAATAAAAGTCTGTTTCAAGATGTAAGACAATATATTCAACCTCTTTAAATTTCTCATACAACTTTCATACTCCTATATCTATATTTCAAAAATCATGATTTGGTTAAAAGTATAAGATATTACCAAGAGTTGAATGTTTTTAACTATTTAAAGTAGGGGTTTGGTCAATCTTTTTCTTTTATCCATTGCAAGGTTGCCACATGCGACTAAAATGCAACTATTTTTGGCATGAGGGGACTTTTTTGCCTGAAAAGGCTAAAAAAAGCATCTATTTTTTCAAGAAAAGGAGACTTTTCTGTACTAGATAAGTTTTTAATTTTTTCAAGCATAAATTGGGAAAAATCTGCGCCCCGCTAAATAGTTCCTGAACACACTGAACTTTTTTTTTCTTAAAAAATATAAAATTTTGAATTGCAAATTTGAGTCTTCACTTTTTAATTTGTTCAATCTGCACAAATTCATTGTGAGTCTATTTCATTTCTCGATCACCTTTTCAATGATACAAAATTCTGCATGATTTTTTTTTTTATTTAAAAAAAAAACAATTTTTTGACGGTATTACAATGCATGAATTTCTAGTTTTAGTAATCACTTTTCATATATATGTATAAACATTTATATGAAAATTATCATATTTGCCACCAACTTGACTGAATGGATCATGGTTTATGACAAGTCATTAACAAAATTTTTGATGGATTTTTGTTCTTATTATGCAACTATTTTCCTAGTTTTTGGCTACTATTTTCATGCTTTAGGCTACTAAAAGCAACTATTTTGTTCATTTTTTTCTGTGGTAACCTTTGAGTGAAGAGAATCTACCGTCCCTGAAGTGCGCTATTCTTGTTTCCATAGCAGCAGACGGCCTCTGACTTTGAATATTTTTAACTTTAATTCTATAAAAGAATTCAGTTCTTAATATTTCTTTTTACACAGCACAGAATTAAAAATAAGACCAAATAACGAAATTTTCATTAAGACTGTTGTCAGATATTAGATGAGTTTTTATACTTATCTTAAAAGTTACTCGTTTACGATTAGTCTTATTAATCATTATTGTAAAGCGATCGCCCGAATTAGGGTAATTGAAGAAAAATATAACTTTTTTTTTTTTTTTTTTTGCATGTCAAATAGAAATATCAATCATATTTTGCTGTTCCTTAAAACTTTTTATTTAATTTGAAAATAAAAGCAATTATTGCTGAATTAGCAATAAAAAATTTTAAGGGGAGGAATAATACCTAAAATAAGGCTTATCCGTGTCAAAAGATTTATAATGGACAATTGCAGCATATCATAATTTTTTTTATTTTCATACCTAACTTATTGGAAATTCTCCCCTGAAACCGAAAATCTGATTATTTTTTTCGGCAAATGTTAATTTATTTAGTTATTAAACTTTTAAATTGCCCCAAAAGGGCTCCGTAAGTGATGCAATCAAAAACGACCCCTGATTTGTTATGACGTCAAACGTGCCGTCTCCATCCGCTAAGGCTATTTCAATGCTCTTTTAGTTTTGACATCACGTATACCGTATGAACATCCTTTGTAAATTATCAGTAAAAATTTTGTGAATTAAATTTACGGCTCTGAGAGTGTGTGCAAAATGAAAGAAAGATTTTAAAACTTCAAACGTTGTTATTTATCATTAAAATATCTGAAGAAATGATTATGTAGCTCTTTACACCGAATCAACATTTCTTTTCGGCTGAAATCAGTAGTGTTAAAGTTCATAGAAAATACTATTTCATTCCACTTACTTTTAAATTAAATTAATGATTCATTACAACCTAATTACTTAATTAAAATAAGTCGCAGATTGGATAGAAATTTTATACATTTTGATATAGGATGGATGATTTTATAATTCGTTATTGCATTAAAACAAATCAGTATTTTCATAAATCTAGTCCATTGAAAAATATCAGTCCATCATCGTTACAATCTATGTGCTAATGATCGAAAATTCAAATAATGTAATTTAATGTTGCTTCTTTAATTTATTTATTACTAGAGTTGAAGGATTTTCTTTTTAAGTAAATACTTACTAATGCAGTTTATGTCATCTTTTTTTGTTTGTTTCACTATGTATTAAATATTTAAATACACATTAACGCTTATATTTATTATTCCTAGCTTAAATAGGAATTCCGTTGCAGTTCGAAATTATTTTTATTTATAAATTTTAATTCCTTTTTCTGCAATATAGTATTAATAAAGTATGGTTATTGTTAATTTCTCTCCTTATTTTTGCAAGCTATTTGTCAGTGCTTGCAATGAAGAATTCTAAAATAGTAAAATTAATACATTATACATTTTTAATTAAAAAAAATTTAATATAGTTTTACAAAAATCTCAGGTTATGCATACGGTATGGCCGAAAACGTATCAACACTTTCAAGAATCTAGTCCATTGAAATATATCTAACCATCATCATCACCATAATCTATATCCTTAAAATTTCACTTAATTTCTCATTTATCCATATCTAATTAACTTATTTATCCTCAAAATTTCAGCGAATATCATTAAGCTGGAAGTTTTTGTTTCACTAAAGCTAGAGAACAAAAATAAAAAATTAACTTATGCAAAATGGAAAGAAATTCTAATGCACATTCTTTATTATTTATTAAATAATTAAAAAAGAAACAGTAATGTTGATATTTTTATTCTTTGAGTTAATAGGAACTTTGCCATGGCGAGAAATTATTTTTATATGCATTTATAAAATTTTATTCCTATGTTATATTATTATTTATTATATTATTATTAAAGAACTAAATAAATGCATATGCTTGATTTCAAATACTCTTATAACATAGATTAAGGCAATTAAAGTAAAGTTAATAAAATCTGCAGGAATATATATATGAATTTAAAGTTTTGCTGGGATCACAAGTTTTTTAAGAGGCTACTGCTATGAATAGAATTACATGCTTTGAATTCACGCTAGAGTAAATAGATAAAAATTATCAATAACTTAAGCTGTCCTACATTTTAAAATCTAAAACTATTTATTCTACACAAGAAATTGATCCAACATTTCTTTCACTTAAGATGAAAATAAATCTTCCAAATGAACTCGAAGTATACATTAAAATTAAGATTATAGTTTAAAAATGAAAAAACGAAGTTATTTTGTATTTATAACGCATGTATGTAAGTGAACGGCAGATGGATACGTGTGACTCCCCGTTTCAGGCGAAAACGAAAGTAAGCGTTTTTTGATTGAAAATAACTAAATAAATAGCTTTCTTAGAAAAGTAATAACATGTTTTCTGGGATTCTGAATGCATTAAAATAAAATAAAAAATTTTGACTGTAATTTTAGAAGCTTTGGCAGTGAAAATTTTCAGCGAGACATTTGAATGATTAGTTTCCATTTTAATACAGAAAACTAATAAAGGTCTCATTACTTTTATGAAAAGTCATGTTGAAAACTAAAGTTACTTTTAAATGGAGTTTTGTTATTGCATGGAATCGTCGACAGCAACATTCGTTCCTTTGGATGGTGTCTTGTGTTGCAAGGGACATTCATCCATGTTTTTTTAAGTTGAGTAAACCTTTGTTTTTATTTATAAATTTCAACTTGAAACTGTAAATAAATCAAGTATGTCTGTCTTAAGGTCTGGTTTCTTAGGACAAGCGCCTTATCTGGGCGTCAGCGGGACGTCAACGTCACGCTGACGCCAACAAAATACTGGTTTGTTAGCTCAAGGCCTGGTTTCTTAGAACTAGCGCCTTATCTGGGCGTCAGCGGAAAGTTGACGTAGATCTGACGCCAAAGAAATACTTTTTTGTTAGCTCAGCGTGAGCAGTCGGTCCAACGCAGACATTATCTCTCATTGCGCATGCGTTAATAACGTAAACAAATATTTATTTTGAATTTGTATTGATTTTGTTATTGTCGACCAGTGTTTTAGAGAACAAATAATGACTTTATCCAAGAAAAAACACATTATAGCTGAGTTAAATGAAGAGTGCTATGTTTAATGAAGAAGCTATGTTTAATATCAAAATCAAAATCTTGGCTGATTTCAATTTGCTGTTGGATGTTGTCCGCCATTGCTTCTGTGGTTAACGTCACGTTGTAATCCAACTGCAGTTGAGTTGGGCGGCAATTGTAGTTCAAGATGAGCGTTCGATGACGTATACTATCAAACTCACAAATAGACCAATCAGAGGTTAACGCTGATTTCCAGCTGACGGCGTCCTGTCCTAAGAAACCAGGCCTTTACAATTCTCCAAATAAATTTTTATTAAAAATCTTCCCTTTGTTATGCCATTGACAGATTTGCTTTCTTTTTTAAATCCACGCTACCGATAGATTAATTCTTTATTTAATTTTTTTTTCCTTCCAATTATCGTTATTGAGTACTTATTTGTTTATTTCGTTGATTTTTCCCTAAAAGTAGGCGAAATAAATTTAAAGATGTAACAGCGTAAAAATTGTTTCAAATACATATTAAAAACTTGATTATGCTAGCAATAATAGTGTTCAAACTTTAAACAATTTTTCATTTGTTAAAATGACTCGTACTTTTAAGGATATTTGTCATACAAAAAAAAAAAAGAACTTAATGCGACAAAAGATAAATGAAAACTCTCTGTACTATCGTTTCAACAATCGAAACATCAGCCCTTTTGATTCCCGTTTTTGTCTCATTTGATTAAACCAGAAAAAATACATAGGAAACAGTACCTCACTTGTCTGTATAGCAGAGTAAGATTTTTAAATAAAATCGGGTACAAAATTATATTTTTTGTAAATAAAACGCTTACAACTTCTAGGCTGTTAATAGGATCGTCTTGGGGTATTTCTTCTATTGACTCGAGTGTAATACACGAATGCAAAGAAAACTATGTCTTAATGTTATAGATAGCAACATCAGAAGCTTAAATAGGTTCAAATACAAATTTGTACTTTTTATACATAAAATCTTTACCAACTTCTAAACTATTACACTAATCGTTTTGGAATTGTTCTCATTAATTTCAGTGGGAAAATATGCCCCTTCTCACCCTCAAATCAACCAAATTTCTTTCAAAAATTTGTACAGAAGTGAGAGGGGGAGTTTTCAGGTTCAGTTATCATTTATGATAGCTAAACAAAGCTTTTTATGAAGTAAAAGTCAAATTTTGCTGGCTTATGGGAATTGACCTTTTAGTTTCTTGTTCCAAATTTAATAGATTTTCTAATACATATAGAATATAAAATTTGGTTTTTAATTTATTTATACATTACGCAGCTTCGAGCATTTAAACGTAACCAATTTTATCTTTAATCTAGAAAGCATAAGTTTAGACACCAGTTTTAACTTCAGTTCAATTTATCATTTTTGAATTTCTGAGCACCTCCCCCCCCCCCATAGAAAAGTTATACCTACGTGCTTGAACAGCCGACCCAATTTTTGAGTTTACAACTACTTATGTTCAACTCCGTAGCCTTGTAATTTTGAACCAATCTAGAAGACAAGGAAACTCCTGGATCAGTATCCCAGAGGTATTGATTTGTTATGGGAACATGGAGGACTTTGCGACTCTACAGATTTAAAATACATCAGTCACCATTTACTACACGGGGAGTCTTTCGCCGGCGGAGATCGAACTCTTGGACATAGGTCCATTGCCCTACCAACCAGGCTATCCCTGCCTTACGTGCTTGAATTGAAATAAAGAAAATAAGCTATGAACAAAAATTGATGGAAAAAATGTACTTATTCGTTACGGGATACCGTAAAAAGTCGCCATAATATTATTGACACAAATACTGTGCATTTTTGTAATAGATTTCGTACGGCGGTCGAAGATATAAGTACAGCAGAAAGTAACTTGACTGGTAAATTTTCAATATCATGATCATGAGTTGCCTTGTGAAACAGCATTATGCCAAATAATGCTGTTTCACAATTAATTAGCCTTTTATGTCGATTCATAAAAGGCTAACTGAATTAGATTAATCTAATAACGTAAAACCATGGAGAAGGGCTACAGATAATCTATACATATAATAAAACAGATTTTTTTCGTGTATGTCCGTCTGACTGTGTAAACTTGATTTAGGGTATACTGTAAGCTCTAAAAATGCGCGATTCAAAATGAATCTACATGAGTAAAATTGTAAACAAATTTAGAAGCCTGATTTTTCATTTTTATTACTTGTATTTTAAATTCACAGAGACTTATAAAAAATGCAGTTTTCTAATTCGCTTCGCGGAAGACAGTGTTTAAAAATAAGGTATAGACGATTCAGTTTTTCAAATAATTTGAAGACATCAGTAATGTTAGCTATGTAATATTTTTTTAACAAAAAAGATGTTATTTACACTTTCTGTTATACTTAATTATGTTTTATTTGTTATGCAAGGATAACTCAATGATTAACATAATCGTGGTAGCACAGGTAAACTACATCACCAAGTTAATATTTGCTGTTGTTGTTGTTGTTACTTTACGTCGCACTAGAGCTGCACAATGGGCTATTGGTGACGGTCTGGGAAACATCCCGGAGGATGATCCGAAGACATGCCATCACAATTTTGATCCTCTGCGGAAGGGATGGCACCCCCGCTTCGGTAGCCCGACGACCTGCGCGCGATGTCGAGCACTTTACGGTAGCACAGTTTAACGAGGACCAATACCGCACACCCTCGGTCCCTACGCAGACTGATCCAAGTGGTCACCCACCCGCACACTGACCGTAGCCAGTGATGCTTGACTTCGGTGATCTGCTGGGAACCGTGTCTTAACGATCAGTCCGCTGCGGGACTTTAATATTTGCAACCATCGTATTTATTTTCGTTATGCTTTTAAAACGTGTTTTTATAGAACTCAATAATTTAAAATAAAAACTTTTTAATGAAAACCAAAATTAATGGAGCTATTTCGTCATGAGGTACGGTAAAAAATCGCCATACTATTGTTGACACCAATGACCAATATTGTTGACACCAATAGGGACAAGGTATTAAATTTTGTGCCGATTACAGCTGCACCAATACTGAACATTTTTATCATAGATTTATTTCGATAGATAAGTTCAGGAAAAAGTAACTTGACTGTGATATATTTCAAATGTCATGAGTTGTCTTGAAAGAGTGCAGTTAGTCGTTATTTTTGTGGGATGAGCTCTAAAACGTGTTTTATTTAATCTAATATGTTAAAACAACCGAGAAAGGTAAAAAATAATCTATACATAAAATAAAATTTAGAATGTGTGTGCGTCTATATATACCCAACTGCGGATATCTGGTTTAAGTTGATATATCAGACGAGTGAATAGATACAAGTACAAATGCGTACTTTTTGTACATGAACTAAACTATTCGTTCTTTCGCTCGTAATCCGTTCTGCTTGAAAAATACAACAGAAACATAGCCTGTGTAGAAAAAGTTCAATACTTCGGCAAAAATCATTCCAATTTTCATCGAAAAACGAGGGTTTTCAGGTATCGTTCATGCTTAATAGACAACTCGTCTATTAAGCATGAACTATACCTGAATGGGATAATTAATAGACGACAAGCGTAGGGACCGAGGGTGCGAGGTATTGGTCCTCGTTAAACTGTTCTACCGTGAAGTGCTCGACTTCGCATGCAGGTCGTCGGGCTACCGAATCGGGGGTGCCACCCCTTCTGCAGAGGATAAAATTGTGATGGCATGTCTTCGGATCATTCTCAGGGGTGTTTCCCAGACCGTCGCCAATAGCCCATCGTGTAGCTCTAGTACGATGTAAATTAACTGCAACAACAGAGTTTGTTTACATAATAGAAACTGTTGAATCCCTTTCCTCGCTTCGGCGAGCATATTTTTATGAGGCAAACATTAACATTCAAGCAGAAACAGTTAGATGCCCCGCCCCGTTTACGTTTTGTATTCGTTGATGCAAATGAGAACTTGAGTGGACAATTATAATATTCTTGAAAGACTGGCTAATCATTCTCTTTTGAGACAGAAAAATTCTTATAAAGTAAGAATGGCCCTTTAATTTGATTACCAAAGGTTACGCCCTTAGCTACACAGAAATAAGAAATTAAATGCATCAGCAAAGTTGTGACTCAACTCGTTATTATTATTTTTCGTCTGCAAATGTTGTCGAATTTCAACCCAAGGCGGGAAATAAATTATACTTTCGATAATTCCTATATTTTGTTTATTCTTTTTTGACAATGTACCTATGAAGTTTCATCTGCTACGTGAATTCATTTAAAATATTTCTATCATGAAAATTTTCGTGAAAGATGTCTTGTCTAATCGGATCTTCTAATGTTAAAAGTATTTTCCAATCACTTTCTAAAATAAGATTGCAATTTGAGTTAAATATTAATTTGTGTTTTTCAAATCTGTATTTTGTTTTAATCAAAATATCTTGTGTTCAGGTTTCTTTTGCTAATCTCGTAATTATTAACTTTATAAATCCATCCTTTTGATGATTAAATATTTAATGTTTAATCCTGAAACTTAATTATTATCTTTCGCACAATAAATTACAAAGAGTAGACCTTTTTATTCTCTTTCGAGAGGATATTTCCTTGTCTACCTCTTCTGCTGTGCCTACTCTTGCCAATTACGAAAGGTTTCTTTTAAAAAGAAATGTTTAGTGCTTTTCCGGAGGAGTAAGTTCAAGTTATACCCTTTAAATTGGATCCCTTCAGTGATTGTTTGGTTGTTGTCAAAATTTCGTGATTTTATGGCGCAGATCTGGAAATCTAACCCATTTTAATTAGTCTTTCAAAAGAATTATAATTTTGTAGATCTAATCAAACTGATAATTCACATATAAGTTTAATATATATTTTGTTTTTATCACAGCTGTCTTATTCATCTTTATTTTTTTCAAGTAATCACTATAAAAAAAAATTTTTCCAAAGCCTATGAAGTCATAAAAATTATTACTATTCCCAATAAGCTGTTTAATTTTTTATTTCCTAATTAATAGTTCATGAAATTTATGGACATAATGAAAAGTTTCTTCTTTTTGTCTAATACTGAATAACTGATATTTAATATTTATTTACTAAATAAAAATAATTTATTATATTTAAAAAAAGTAATTAGTTATTAAACACTGAAAAATAAATTATGATATAAACTCTTACTGGAATGTTTGAAGGCATTAATTATTTTTTTAAACTGCTTACGAACTTCAAACTGCCATATTTGAGACTACCTTTTTGAACCAAAAGAACTGAGCATCTAAAACACCAATAATTACATCATAAGTTAATACAGTTTTTTTTTTACCTAATTGTGGAAAAAAATTTTATGTCTTATTACTGTTTCTACTCGCATCAACCTTAATCGGAAAACTTTAACATGAAATTTGTTTCGTATACAGTAACATCTGTACATTTTATGTCATTGGAAAAGGTTTTATAGTACATCTTTTAAACTGCCTATCTTAAATTTAACTATTGTATAAATTTATTTATTTTTATTAATTTTTAAATTATGTATTAATTAAAATTTTGTATTTACAGTTTTTGGAAAAGCTTTTCATGCCTTGTCAAAAATAGCAGATGATTTATATATAGAAGCACTTCCTTCTGGTGTAAGTTTAGTATTATGCTGTAGTTTAATAGAATGCAAAGTTACTTTTAATATAAGTTAATTCTACCTTATTTTTAATTTAAAGAAAGTTACAAGTATCGTAACTAAATAAAACTACCTTGATTTTTTACCATAACTGGATGCAAAAATAGCTAATGGAAACCAAGAATATTAAGAAATTCCATATCTGAAAACATATTTATAAGGAAAAATTCATTTCATGCTTCCCTTGAACAGGAAAAAAAAAGAATAAAAAAGGAGGGACAAAGTGTCCCATCAAAACAAAGCCTCTTCTGATTATAGCTAATGTATCTGAAATATATATATATACGTGATTTGAAATATATGATGTTACATACCATTTACTAAACACTGGAGGACATTAGCATCACTGTTACTTCACCTTTCAATGATGGTCGCCTTTAATTCTACCATAAACTGAAACTGCCACATTTTGGTATATGCATCCTATTGAGATTGAGGATAGCCCCCATGTTTTCTTGGAAGTTGAGGTTATGTAAAAGAGCAGATCATTCATGATGCGCACCCCATTATCTAAGAACCAACACTGTGAAGAGTTTACAACGTAAATGTAGACATTATTCTGTTGGAAAATCTGATTTTGGCCACCGATTCTCTCTGCAAATGGCAATAAATAAATTTTTAGACTTTTGTTTTAATTATTATTATTGATAACCTGCATACTACCTGGCAGACAGGCTAGGTTGAGTTTACCACCATACTGAAGTCTTCCGACATAATTAATGAGCCTCCCCCTTGCTATATTATAGAAAGGAAATACCCTTCTTTTCCCATGCTTTTGTAATAGCAGAAATCCTATTAGAAAAATTAGAAAATCTTCTCTCAAAAGGATAGCAATGTAGAAGCTCATAAATGCCGTGGGGCGGCTTCGGCTGTGGTGGTAAACTTAATGTAAAATTTTTACTAGGTTGCGCGAAGGTTACTCATTACCAAAGAATAATAAAAGCTATTTTACTGTTATTTAAATCAAAAATTGTCAATCCAAGTAGAATTTTCCGACAAGAGAATGCCTTCACGTATAATGCAAAATACTCAAAATAAAAATGGTGGGTTTTGGATAATAAAGTGTGTGCCATGAATGATTTGCTCTTTCTCATGACCGCATTCAGTGGCATACATAGACTTAAATGCCCCCCCCCCTGCAAAATTTATAAAAATGCCCTATCCTAGATTTAACAGAAATTTTATAAAATTAAAATATGAAACAAGTACACTAAAAAGAGACATTGGGATATTTATAATCATTCATTCTATTTTAATTTATATATTTTAATATAAATTATTTAAATATTAATAAATAAGGAATTAATAATTGTGGCAGAAAGGCAAAATTTAGAAAAAGTACTAAATTGGAACCTTGTATACACTTACCACATTGAAATGAAATTTATCTTAATAATCCACGGAAATAACTCTTACAATAATTATACTCAATCTTTCTTTTAGTGATTATGTTCAAAGTTTAGTAAAGGGTTAATTTTATTTGTAGAGGGAAATAAAAAATATCTTATAAAAGAAAAAATATTTTTATTATAATTCATATACCCAGCAGGGGTGCACAACATATAAAGATTGGGAAAGAGTGATAGTTTTTTATCACATCGTGTAACCAAAAATGTTTTTTAAATAAAATAATTGTAATGTTCTTGAATGAAAGTTTAAAAAAATTATACATGAAAAGCATATTAAGCACATAATTATTTTAATTAAAAAAATTGTATGGGATCTAAAATGTTTTAAAATAAAACAATGTATTATAGCATTCTTTTAAGTTGTATATGTGTTTAGTTGCAGATTTTCATAATATATTTGCTTGGTTCACATTGGTTTTCTTTGCGTTCAGCTATAACAAAAAATCAAGGAAGCTTTATTCAGTTGGGAAACACTGTGTATGAATATTTTTAAAATTTTTATTTCAAGTTGTTGGTTTTTATGCTGTATATTCACATTTAAAATAAATTATTTTATTCTATATTTAGATTGTTGAACTTTACTGGACTAAACTAATTCAGTTATATATAATAGCGTGCAAACTTTTTTCATATTTTTATCAGCAGTTGACATTTTTCATGTAAAATTTAAAATTTTTTGTGAAACTGAAAATTATTATAATAAATTTTTAAATGTATTTGTGATATTTGCCTAAATATTTTTATTTATACTGAAAGCCTCAATTGTGTTAAAATTTCTTGTAAAATATTGATCCATTATTTATCTTAATTTTTAAGTTTTTTTAATAAGGTGGCAATAATGAATGAGAAAATTTTGTTCTTTCTCCTCTGAAACTTTCCAAGCAACAATGCTCATTGGTTTAAAATTATCTACTAGTACTTCTAATAAATTTAAAAAAATAATTATTAATTCGAAGATTCATTTTCCTTAGTTTATATGTTGAAAATTTTGAATTGTCCTTGATAAATCAGTAATCAATAAATACTTGATAATTAGTAGTTATTGATACATCTACATGTATAGTGCTCTTTCATTTAAGTTAATTTTAAATGAGTTTCAGTTATTCATTCTATGAGAGCTCTGTTGATGCAAATCGGTCTATTATATTGATACTAATAAAATTTGTTAAAAAGTATGATTTTCCCATCAATATTTTATAGTTCTGTTTAAAATGTGTGTTCTTCTTCTAGTTGGTGTTTCATACTGTAAATTCTTCTAAGTCAGCATATGCTTGTTTTACTTTTAAAACAGACTTCTTCATTTCATATAAAGACAATGCCATTGAGAAACGAAAAATTTTGTTAAAAGTATGTTTCTCTTTATTTCATTTATTTTAAGTATTATTATTATTACAGTTGTAATATTCAAGTCATGCATTTTACTGTTCCTTATTTATTTCAGTCTTGTTTGATGGCTTTTCGTTCCCTTCCCAACTTAGAGAAAAATGTAGAAAAATGTTTATTTGATATATCAAGTGCTGCTGACTACTTACTTCTGAAATTTTTTTGCAAACATAGTAAATACTATTTTTATTTCATAAGCCTGTTGGTTTATTTTCTATTTTTCTTCATTTTTTGAAAAATGCAATTATATTTTCAATTTAATGTCTTAATTTATTTACTCTTAAATTGTACTGTGAATGTTACTAGTAGGTAAGAGAAATGTTTTTCATAAATTTTTAAGACACTGATGTAAATTATTATAGGTTTGAAAAAAATAAATATTAAATAAGATGGTATGTATATGAAATAAAAAAATTCATGATGTAAATATAAAGATCCTTAAATTACTCGGCGTCAAAATTTTTTATATCTGTTCTCCTATATTTATTATTATAAATTTTGCTCCATTTGTTTAGTAATATGTTAACAGACGTGGTCAAACTTGTTTATAAAGATAATGTAGAAACTTAGACAGGTCGCTCGTTAAATTGATACGTTCAAGGAACACAAGTTGACTTAAATTATAAACAAATAAATAAACGCTATGTTGTTCAAAAATGCTCTAGAAAATGGATTAAAATGTTTTACTTCTTCTTATTTACACTTATTTTAATTATGTCTGAACCCTTTTCCCCCTTTTGTTTTGTGATAGAACTTATTATTAAACTAATTAATTATTCTTAGTGAAACCAATTGATGCCAGAAACTATGTGATTTCTCTTAAATTTCCCTCTTGAGCTGTGAATGATAAAGGTTTAATTGTTTCATCCTTATCACTATCTAGTTATGTGTTTTACAAACATTTGTATATGAGATGGAGACACATGAAAAACAATAGTTATAGGATCGATTCAATGATTTTAACAGTAAAATCTTATGTAAGTTATTGCAAGTATATGAGTCACAGGAAGACATATGAGTACATTGTTTTTAAACAAATTAAAAGGTAAGTTAAAAATTCTTCCTAGTGTCGTTGTGCCTTATTAAAAGAGGTGTTTTTAAGCTTTTTCAAAGGCAATGACGTTTACTAAAAAGGAACAACAATCTAATACTTTATTTCTATATAATCTAATATTTTATTTATATTCAAAAAGTGTAGAAAATTTCTTGCTAATTTGACTGTAGTCATCAATCACCTAACCCGACTATAAAAAATTATCTTACACAATCTGTCATGTCTGTGTCTGTTTTCATAATATAACTTTGAATCAAAAATTATTTTTCCTAAAATGTTAGTATTTTATTTACTTAGAAAAACTTTCAACACATTTACTTTAACAATATAATTCAATATATTGTCAGATTTTTCAATATATTTAATAAGATTTATCAATATATTGTCAATTTTTTTGAAACACAAAGCCATGACAAGGCTCAGTCTCAGTTAGTCTTATTACAAACTATTTTTATTAGACTTACAAAGAGTTCGGTTAGTGGTAATTTTAATTTTTCATTCGATTACTTTTTAAACTTAAAGGATAATTAAGAATGACAAGTAGTATTTCTTACTTTTTTTTAATTTTAACATTGATATAAAACTTTACCTGGCAAATTATTGATTTATAAATTTTAAATAGTTTCAGCAACACTTCTAAATTCTAACAATTAGTTCTTATATATTTCTAGTGATTGGCAATAAAGATTTTTATTTAGATTTTATGTGTTATAAATTATGCCATTTTTAAACATTTTCTATGAATTGTTTCATAATTTGAAAATGATGACAGAGGATTGATTATTTTGCTATAAGTTTAATACACTTTAAAAATATACAGTTTGTTGCTATACTTGGGAATTGCAATTTAATTTTTTTTTTAAATTTTATTTCTAGGTATGATAAAGGTATATCAGTTGAACTATGTTGAAAATGAAACTGTACAAGGATCCTTTCCTACTAGTGGATTTACTTGCAAACTAACCGCCCCTTCTCGGTAAGTTTGTATTGTTATTTCAGATTTATTTAATGTACTATTTTATAACATTAAATATATATATATTTTTTCCCTTTTGGATAAATTTTTTTTTGCAATCTTAAAGGAATATTATTTTTGTTTTTTTAAATAAGTTAGTTTTTACAATAATATTTAAATTTCTCTGCCAGTATTTGCATGTAAACATATTATGAAATTTGGTAATGTATAAATATTTAATGCATATATCAAACAGTTTTTAATTCATTAATAGATTAAATTCTATATATTTTATTATTGATTGAATTATTGTGACGGTTATTTATTTTGTGTGTTAAACAAATTTTAATTATTTCATTGTAGTTTGCTGTTAGATAGTATTCAAAATTTTAGTACAGCAGTTGAAGAGATTACTTTAACAGTGGGTTCAAATAAAGTTTTTTTGAAAAATTATGTAGATGATGAACCAGGTAAAAAAGTTTTAATTTAAATAATATTATTCTTAATTGTTTTTGCCTTAAATAAATCTTTCCTTATAGGCTGATAAACTCTGTTAATTTTGTAAATTTCTGGAATTGATTGGTACAATCAAAGAAAAACTTCACACTTATATTTTGTATTAAAAAATTGTGATAAAATAAGCTTTCAAAATTTTACTTAACTTAACACGTTATTATTGTGCAGCAGGAGATCAAATATTTCATTGTGCAATATTTTATTTTAAAAATAGAATAAGAATTTTTTTTTTTTTTTTTTTAAATCGGAAAGTCTTAACAATCATATTTATGAAGAATTTGTGCCATATAAATTTTACAATTAATTGCACTGTAACAAATTGCAAGTTATGAAAAATTTGAGGACACATATTTCTTTTAAATATAGGAATACAAAACCTTTCTAACAATCTAAGAAATGTAGTAGTGCAAAATATGTATACAACTACTGTAACAGGCCCATTGATGTAATACTTTTAAAACTGCAAATTGCTATTTTTTATATTTATTTATTTTAATTGAAATATTTTCGCAGTACTTTTAAGATTAGTTAAAAGCTAAAGAAAATATAAAAATAAAAGTTTTCAATTGATAAATCTAATTTAATTACAATAAAAAACTGATTTAAGCTAAGTTGTCTTGATTAAAATAGTTTTGTTTGAATTCATTTAAAGTACTCAGATATTTTCATGTGATGCATATTTATTTTTTAATTTTTATTTGAATGTTAAACTTTTCATTTTTCAAAATTTCTTTTATCAATTATAATAATTTTCTATAATTTTGTATTATATTATCATTTAATGAAAAAAATTAAATGATAATGTATTTAAAAAATACTCCTGTATCATGTTTGCATTTCTGTCTTTCCTATGTACAAATACATTTCTTCTTTCAGGAACATAATTATTTCAAACCGGGTTGGTCGAATTCAATTTCAGTATTTTTAATCAAGAATTATTCATTTTTTCAATAATCAAAAATATTCATTTTACAAACTCATTTACAATTATTTATTTTAATTATTTAATAAATAGAAAGGAAATTTTTTTAGGATTTAAGTTGATCAAAAGTTGTAAATTGTCCCAACCTATTTTAAATAAGTGCAACTACATTCAACCGTTTACTTTTTTTAATTGATATCAATTAAATAAAATTGTAAATTTAGATAATAATTGCTAAAAAAGTTTTTCATTATAGAGCGAACAATGAAAAGAAAAGAAAAAAAAAATGCAGGCTCTTAAAAAATTTGGAAATTATATTGAGTTTAATCAATTTTACTTTTGCATTTTTGATTTACTTAAGTTAACAGTTTAAAGTTTTAGAAGGCGTATTGGAATCAAATTTATTTTTTTATAAATTTATGAATATCTAGTTTTCTAAGTTGTGAATAGTTCAAACTACTAATATGCTTTTTTTTTCTTTATTTAAATTGAACTAACATAATATTTTTTTATGATTTATTGATTTAATTACTTTGTAACAGATCCCAACAAAGTAGTGCATACTGAAATGACTTTGGAATCTGAAGAATTTGATCTCTTTGAAGTGGAAGAAGAAACTAAAATAACATTTTGTTTGAAAGAATTGAAGGTTATTCTCATTATTTTAAAGTTTCATATTTAATTATTAAATTAATTCATATCATTCATTATTAAATTCATATTTAATTTTGAGTATATTTAAATGAAGTTTTATGTGTTTAATCAAAATGCTTTTCAATTAACTCAAATTAGGTTTATTAAACTCTTACAACTCAATGTAAGTTAGGCAAGCCCACCTCGAGTATATAATTCTGAGACTGCTATAAATGGTAAATTCTATTTTAAAAATAAATTGTATGCATACAAATTGGTTTTTAGGAATATGAACACAAATTATTTTTAATTGCAACGTAAGGAAAACTTATCGTTAATAAAAAAAAATTATATTAGCAATATTTTTTATAAATTTTCATTTTTCAGATATGAAATTCTGCTGTTATTATAAAAAGGAAACAATCCCAAATATAATTTAAAATAGTTTATTACTGCTGACTTAAAACTGAAAGTATGATAGTTGAAATGATATAAATTTCAAGAAATATTTATTAACATAATTTTTTTTTTCTAATTGCTTATATTTTACTCTGTATCTTAGAAGTATAATAAACAAAATATGCTGGATAAACAACTAATAAAGTATTAGTTTAATACTTGGTTAGAAGACAACAAATAATTAAATATATTTCAAAAAAATTCATGAAAGTGCAATAAACACATACTAAATTCAGCTTAATTTTTAGTAACAATTTTTCAATAAAAATTTCGGTATGAAATGTAGATAAACATTTGACAATATTTAATATCTGAAATTTTTTTATTTAACCCCTTCTCTGTCAGCATCGCATCTCATACAGTCGACGTTTTTGTGCCCTTTTGATCAGCGTCTTATGCCATGCAACGAAGATAAAAATTGAAATTGAATTCGTCGCTACTTGCACATTTCAATATTGCTAATAGATACTGCTAATAGTTCCACTTTCTTTAAGATTTTCACAGTAAGATTTCCTGCCTTGAATTGACATCAAAATCTTCTGCCTGAGAATCCACTGTTTGAAAACTCCTCAACATTATCTTGCAACACAGAAGATTTTGATTAAAATTTTTTTTGCTAATGATAGATTTTTTTCAGTGGGTGCTAAGGAACTGATCTATCTGAAAAGGAATTTCCCCTAAATACTGTAGAATGTTTTCTTATAAATATTAGGCCCAGGAGATAAGACACTTTATTTTTAATTGACTGAAGTTATGCTTGTGTTTTGGAAAATATTTATATTAATATTAAATTTAGACTCAAATGTCATTTTTATACATTACTACATTCAATATTTTAGGCCATTTTGAACTTTTGTGAAGGGTTCAGTGTTCCTGTTGCAATAAAATGTCAGTCTCCTGGAAGGTAAATTTTATTAAAATGCTAGCATATGAATTTTTATCAGAATTTGATTCAATATTACTGTACATTTACTCTACTTTTTTTTTCCTTCTAAAGACCAGTAAACTTCAGTATTAATGGATTACGAGGAGTGGATGTTCAGTTTGTTTTAGCCACTTTAGCTGATCGTGACACCCAGTTAATAACTTCAAGTGGTTCTGTGTTTAGAACGTCAGTTGCACAAAACTCTCAGCATGTTGATAAGTAATTGCCCCATTTAAACAAAGTTTCATTACTTTTATTTAACTATTTGTAATGTTATACAATTTTATTGCACTTGCATACTTTCCAACTCATGAGACTGCATACAAAATATATTTCTCAGTGGTTATGTGAACTGAAGCCAAAATTTTCAAAACAAAAGGAACTCTTATAAACCCTTTATCAAGTCTTTTGAACATGACCGATTCTCTATCAAACCTTTAATATATCTGTTTGAATTATTTACGTGTAGTCGTAGACATAATTTTTTTAATTCTAATTTGTTAAAATATTAATATGTTACCTTTTTTACCACCAGAAAACCACTTTTCTAAAACTACAGAATATCTGTAGTAGTTGAAGGGTATGCATTTGTTTATGTTATTTGTTTACTAAATTAACATTTGACTAAGAATATTTGGATATAAGCAGAAGTTTCTAGTTGAAAATAATTTTGTTTAATACAGAGAAACGGAATTTCTTTAAAAAGGTTTTAGGATTATAAATAGTAAAAATTTATTAAAAACCTATATGTGTTTCTATGTCACAGTGGAACATCTTCACCAGAAGGATAAAAGACAGGACTGGTAAAAACAGAGATGAATAAAATCCGACAGAGGTTATATGTCATACTATAAAAGATAAATAGTTCTCTCTTTTAACTGTATATTTTGTGACATAGAAACGCTCATAGATATTTAAGGCATTTTTATTATTTGTGATTTTAAAATTTTTTTTCATCACAATCACCATCATTAATTTCATTACTTTAGTAATTTTACAAAAAACTACGATCTCTGTGTAGTTTTTTTTTTTTTAAATACCTAATACTTATAACAACACTTGGGGAATGTCTTCATTTTAGAGGAAAATAAAAGTCCTGACATTTTGACAATTGTTTGCATTGTTTTTAAAACTTTTTTATTAGTTTTGAATTTCATCCCTCCTAAAAATTCTTTGAGTAACTTAGTAGAGAAAACTCAAATTTATTACTACTAACGTTAACTTATATTTATTTGAATTATTTTACAAGGGAAAAAGAAATTTAAATTTCAAAATAGAAAATTAAAGAATTTTTTCAATTTTTGAGCATACTTGAATGGCATTGGTTAAAATTTTTGTCTATTTTCAACCCAACCCAATTTCAGAAAAAATATTTATTTTCCTGCCAAGTTAGAGTTATTTAATCTTAACTTTTAAGACCTATTTTTTTTTTGAATATTAAGTTGTGTTTTAAGAAACTAATATGTAAGAATTTTTTCGTATCCATATAAATGTGAATAACTAGCAGAGGAGTTATGACGTATGAGGAGTTAAACTTATCATTTGGTATTGTTTTATACCATGGTTTTTGATATGGTAATAAATTTTTATCATTTGAAACATGGATACTTGTTTAAATTGCAGAATTTCTAAACTATTTTAATAAAATACTATCAAGATAACACTTAAAAGAAATCTACAAAGAATAAGGATAAGCTTACATCTTCCTTCTTTCTGATTATACGTTCATAGATTTAATAATTTTAGAATATTTTCTCTTTCTTTTCAATTTATTGTTAGAGCATGTGTGGAATTCTTTACTTCGTTGCCACATAAGTCGGACTTTTTCACATCATTATTATGTAATCACTTTATTCTTTAAAATTGAAAAAAAAAAAAAAAAACATGTTCCTTTTGCTTTAATAATATACACTTCTTTTTAAAACTAATATTAAACAAAAAATGCTTGTAGAGTTTTGTGGCTTAAGTTACAAAGTTGAATATGATAAAGTTAAATACACAGTATAAACAATTGTAGGTAAAAAAAAATTATACTACTAGTGATACTACTGGTCTTACCCCTGAACTTGTTGTTCTTAAGTAAGAAGCTAATTCAACAGGAATTGCAAGAAACTTTCACCACCTTGGAAGTAGGATAAGTTTTCCATACTTTCAAATACAAATGATTTAATGATCCTTCTTAAAAAATTACGTAAAAGAAAAAAAAATTTAGATTAATAATAATTAACATGATTATGAAGACGAAGAGCTCAGTAATATTATTACCTAATAAAAAGTTAGGTGACTTACTAGAGTGTATATATTTTATTTCATGAGCGAAAAAAAATTGCAATGAAATAAAAAAAGTTAAAAAATTTAATCAATTACATTTTTAAAATTTGAGAAATTATTATTTTTTTTCCAGAATAAATGTGTTTTAGTTTTGTAGCTATTTATTTTCCCATTGTTTCTTACGATTGGAATTGATATTTTTTTATTATAATGGGATATCTGCAAGTGACGTAATGTGGAGTTATTTACATTAGCAACTGTTCTTACTATTCTATTTCGAGTAAACTAAACCCGCCAAGTATCAATTCCTTTAAGTGATATATTCTATATTCTTACACAAAGATTCTTTCACGAATATTTCAATATATATTTCTTACTTAACACAAAGACAGGCACGAAACATAAACAAGCTAATTATGCATTGAAGTTGCCAGGTATACAAAACAAAAATATATCCGGATTACAATAAAATAAATGAATCTAAATAAAAGACGTTGACAAGAAAGAAATATAGTTCAATGAATTCTATGTGTGATACAGCCCTGAATTTAATTAACAATCTAACTTATGTGGAGAAATTTGGCTCAAAATTTTGCTTATAAACGATTGGCTGGCACTGACGTCCCAAGTCACATTTGTGGGTATTTGAGATCTTGAAGTGCAAGTACCCAATTGACTTTTTTTAAGTATACTTTAAACTTTTCAGCATAAAAAGTTTCAATTGTCTTAAAATTTACAAGTAAATGCTGCACAAATTTGATATAGAAAACTGATTTAATACACATTTCTTATTTCGTTGTACTTACAGAGTATCCACTTTGAATGAAAAACTTGAGGCTTCTCCAAGTCTGCCGCCTGCAAGCAATACAGCAAGTAGCAGTTCAAAGGATAATTCTATTCCTAAGTTACCTTATGAAAAACCAAAATTCTCAATGTTACTTTCTGATGAAGAAGATGATGATTTAACATCCTCTATTAGTTTATGCCAAGCTGTAGTTGATGAAGGAGATGATGATATGGTACCATCTTCACCACCAAATAAAAAAGTTAGTATTTTCAGTCTTAATTTAATATTAAAATTATTACTATTAAAATCATATTATTATTGCTTCTTATACAGTTTAGCTTAAGTAGTTGAAAAGGTTTCTAATTATTCAAAAGATTATTCTTTAAGTTCACTTAATGCCTAAAAAAGGTTTTCTGTCGATAGGTAAATAAAGGTTAAACAAAAACTTATGGATATAAAAGAATTATACATGTCTGATGGCCGATTTTTCTGAGCCACTCTGCAGCACTAACTTCAAAAAAATATAAAATTTATATGACTTTAACACAGTAAAACAGAGTATAAAGGCAAAACTTTCAGTAATGGTTATATACTTTGCACACACAAGGCAGATAAAAATTATGTTATTTAAATATCAAGAATATCTTATTAAATTGATTTTTTTTTCTTTATCATCAGTTTAGGTCATTATTTTTAGGGCTATCTCAAGATACTTATACATCTATGGCTCCAGATCCAGATGAAGTTCTTGTTCCAAATAGTGATGATGAAGGATAAATCAATCATTTTTAATTTATATACATATTGTTGGAAACATTTTGATAAAGCTATTGTAAAAATATTGATATTTGTACATATATTTTTATATCCTTTCACTTCTTATGCAATGTATGTTTTTAACTACAGTGCCAGTGTGCTGGTACATTTTGATCTGAAGGTGATAATGAATGAAATTTTAGTGACATTAAACTCTAGCATCATTGATTTGATTTTACCTTATTAACTGTTTTATCACTAAAATACCTCTAAATTTTATAAAGAATCCTACCCTGGGTGGGTTTTTTAAAAAATCGCCTATTATAGCATTTCTTTTTAAATTTTAATTTTTATTTATAAAGATAGGAAGTAACAAAAGAAAAAAAAAGTACTTGTTTCCACAAAATTGGGTTAAGAACCAATTTAAAACAAAACAGAAAACTATGTATTCAAATTGATTTATTCTTTTCAATGATTAAACTAATACATCCTTTGTTCACTTAGAAAATGCACACATCAGATTGTCATCTATACAAATACAATTGAACCCATACATATAATTTAAATATAAATTAATTTTTGAATATTTTTTTTTTGCAAAATTGAATGGAATTTTATATTGAAAAAATCCTGGGAACTATTTATATACACACCGGTTTCAGGCATTGCAAATTATTATTTCAACAAAAATATTTTATAAAATTTAAATATATATACAACAAAATACTCACACATTTAAAATATAGTTCTTCTAGTGAAATCACATTTAAGAGTTAAATATATCAGCCATTTTCTTGAATAGAACAAATGAACAATACACAATTTTAGAAAATAAGATATGTTGAAACTTTTAAATAATAATAAAAAACTTAAGTTCAGCAACATCAAAAAATTCTATTTGGTCCCTAATTTAACATCAGGTTTTAGATATTGATTCACAAAAATGCTAGGAACAGAATTATTGTAAAGGATTAAAAATTTACCAGTAGTTGGATTTTTCATTTATTTGTTGAAATGTATTTATCAACGACCATAATATATGAGGAACCCAATTTTATTTCACTCTTTGATTTAACATCTTAGTCTAATCAGGGAATAAAAAATTCTAATACCTAATTCAAGACCAATAAAATTGTTTTAATTGACACAAATTGATAAATATATTTTTATTGTAATATTGAAAATAAATTATGTTGTATTACATTTGTTAAAGTTTTTCAAAAAAATAAAATAAGCTTCATTGCAATTAATTGTAAAATAAAAAATCTCCAACTATGGTTTACAAAAAATTTAATAAAGATTATAAATTACAATCATTTTGTCCATGCAACTTTAAATAATGTCCATGCAACTTTAAATAAATAATGTTAAATTTAAATGTCTTTGTTGTGGAAAAAATCCAATAAAGTATTTTTCTAACATAAAGAGATTTAATTTAGTTTATTATAGTTTGCATAAGATGAAATTCAAAAATTTGATTTCAGCAAAGCACCCTTTCTACGTCTTTTAGGGGGATCTATGCAAATGGCCATATCTATAAAAAGTAAATAATAAAACTTCTTAATACTAAATTTGATAACGGAATAGCGGAGCTAATTTTGTACTTAATATAAGTATAGAAAAAAATAGAGGTTATTCAAATTGAAAAGGCGAAAAAAAACGCCCTTTACATTTATTTCTCAATAAAAATTGTTTTCCACAAAAATTTCACTGTGCTCAGAGAATTCAATGATAAAATTGTTTTATCAGTACTTATTCTGATACACGCCATTCTTTTTCAGCTAACAGTGTTTTTATGACCGCTTTATTCTTAACTCCTACATTTTTTTTACTATCACTCAGCTGAAATTGAGGAAAAAGAATTTTTTATTATAGATGGTCATTCAAAACTTCTCTAATCTAAGTAAATTATTTATATTTAAAAAAAAAAAAAGATGTTATATCTGATAATTTATGTTTTTTCCATCATATAAACGGACAATTTTAACATAACGTTAATTACAATTAAACTAGGACTGCAAATAAACAACCTATAAATGAAAGAGAAGTATGAATGAGAAACAAAGTGTTTTTCAGTATAAAAAATAATGCAGCATTTGGGTGTCGACCGTGCAATTTAATAATAATAATAAAATATCGAACTATACTCATGGTTACCACAAAGAGAAAATTTATAGAACACTTCGTATAATTATTCCCGCCATTTTAATAATAAATACATTAATAATATTAAAGTATTTATCTCTAAATATAAGTCATCACTTCATTTTCATCTTTTAATAAATTCTAAAAAAAAAATTGCTTTTTTTAAATATAATATTTAGTATAAAGTTGATTAAAAAAGAAATTACAACACATGTGCCCTGCTTTAGAATGAATTTGAGAATAATATCGCAAATTAAATCAGTAAATATTATGGTGATGGATTACAATGATTTAATGTAAAGCTGAAATTAATTGTCATGCAACAACTAACATGACAGTGATGAATGAAAAAAAGGCCAGTTCATATTACATACCTAATAATATGTTATGAGGGACCACACAGAATGAGTTAAAGACAGACATACATGCATACATTTTTACAATTACAAATCATTAAAAATATCATAATAAAAATATATAGAATTATGGACAAAACAGCTACTTTCTGGGATAACCTTATTTTCAAAATCTAAGATATTTTATCAGTATATTTTGTTTATTCCTGTAATGGATTATATGAGATTGCTAAATTACAAACTTGATTAATCTGTTTTGTTTTCTTTTGGGAAAGATAAGGTGATATGCTATAGTTGTCAAGCGAAAAGAAGATATTTTTAATAATATGAATACCAAAAATATGCCATCATAGATACACAGACCTGCTAACCTCAGAAATTAAAGTCTCAGACTTTTATAACCACTGTTTAGTGTAATAACAATTATTTTAAATTTGAATTTTTTAAACTTAAAATTTATAGAATGTTAATCTATTGTTTCAAAACAGACTGATTGACCAATTTGGTATTTTTAAAGAAATATTTGACAAAATTTCTTTAAACATATTTTTTTTCTGGTTCGCTTCCACAATCAAAAAATTCTCCTAGAGTTTTTTTTGGCGAAAACATCTTTTACCAAAATTTCTGCTCTTATCATCAGTTACTAAAACGTCTATGAAAACAGTTTAAAAAAAATGGAAAGGTTACTCAAACAAATTAGCTATTTCAGCATAAATTGAAATATCACTCTTATAAAAGAAATCTGTATTTATAAACAGTTTTTATATTTTTTTATGACTTAGACTTTTTTAAACAAAAGATTTAAAAACAAAAAACAATGTCACTATTCTGGTGGTAAGAGATGCAGGTTGTTTGAAAAGTTAGTACACTTACAAAGTTAGTACCGATTAGTACACTTGACAAGAAAAAAAAAGTTTAAGGAAATGATCTGGTGGTCCACGATCCTGAAATTAAACTTAAAAGCAAGAGACTGAAGTCAAGGGCCTGAGAATAGGCAGATCAGATCTGATAATAGTGTATAGGATATTAAAATTTATTTATAATTAGCTCTAAGATCTTTAATATAGAAATTTTACAAAATCATTATGATAACCTGCATTACTTCTCAGTACCGAAGTAAACAAATGCCTAAAACAAAAATAAGAGAGAAAATCTATTTTTACGTACAAACACTAGAACACAGATTAATAAGATAATTAGGTTAAACCAGGTAAAATATCTATCACATCATAAATACAACCAGACTTTACAATAAGAAACAGAATAAGGAAATGAACTGAAATGACATTTATGGATTAAAAACGAACATAAACAGATGAAATTTTTATAATTCTTTTATAAATATACAAAATTAAAGAAAACATAAACAGCACCAAAAGTTATATAAATGAATCTCTGTATCTTTCTAAATTGGTTTCTATGATCTGATGTGCTAAAATTCTGACCTAGTAATCCTTTCATTTTTTTTTCTACTTTCTATCACTTATCTAAATTATGAGCAGTATTAAAAACAAAAAAGAACTTCCTAAGTCATGATGTTAACTTTTATCAACCAGGATCTGAGCAACTGCTGTGAGCAATAACAGCAGGGATTGAGTTTGATTTTTCACCTAACAAGTTGGTTACTGCTGCGAGTAAAACTGTTATATCATCAGGCTTGCCTCCTATAAAAATAACAAAGAATATTATTTTACAGCTGCCAACATGAAAAAACAAACAAACAATAGATTTAAGAAATAATATAAATTTCATAATTATTAAGCAATATTCTATATTTTTTTACTAAAAAATGCATATCACACTATTAACTATAAATTTCTGCAATATTTTCCATTTATGAACAATTAATATTAAATGAACTTGAATCTATGAATAACTAATCTATAAATGAACTATCTAAATGAATTTATAACATTAAATGAACTTGAATCCGAAATGTTTTTTCTTATGTCTATATTTTTGAACTCATAATTTTGAACAGTAATATGCATTCAATTTGTCATAGATGGTTGAAATATTTTTTTATTATATAATTCAAATAAAGTTATATATATATATATAATAGTAAATCTTCAAACTGATGAGGTTGGAAGATTTATGAATAAGGTCTATCAATGAGGTTTGGCGTATTATGTTACAGTAATACTTATTTAAATATTCAAGCAAGCAATAAACCGTGTAAGAATTCTATTACAATAGGGATTTTTCCAGAAACTTACACAATTTAGGGTATTATAGGGATTAGTTCTCTGTCTCACACATAATAAGATTATAAATTAAAATGTTTGTTTTTATCTTTTCATCAGATTAGGAGAAATGGCATCCAATTTGATAGATTATTTTTATAAATTTAAAACAATGACACACAATTAATATATTTTGAAGAGTTTTTTAAATATATTTTTACTTTGATTAAAAAACACAAAACAGGATTTTAGATATTAATTAATTATTTTAAAGTAAACTATGAAAAGTAAAAGATGTATTTCAAAAATTGAAAAGATAACAGTGACATAAATTAACAGTCTAAAAAGGCCACTGGCATGATTTTGTGAAAAAATGTAAAAATCATACCAAAATGAGGTATGTAATAATTGCAGGTTTATTTTTCAGAATTAAATGATGATTAAAAGCATATGAAACATTTTCTCTTTTATCTGATCTAATGAGTGAGATCTATCAGGCATTACAAAGCTAAGTAATAAAAATAAAAAATACTTTTAAATTTACACTATTATTTATTTAAAAAAAATTTAATAACAAATAATAAAATTATATAATTTTAACCTGACAAAATTTAATTTTATTCCATAGCTTCTCATTTATTTCCGTACTTTCGAGCTATTAACAAAGAGATAAGACATTAAAAATACTCCTGAGTTAAAGCTGCTATTTTAACTTTCAATGTAACATTTGAAGAAAAAAAAATAATAATTATGATTAGTGCTGAAATATAACACATATAAAAACAGAGAGAAAATTACCCATGACATTTATTCCATTTTCTCGAGCTCTTTTGGAAAAAGGTGACATATAAGTGGCATCAAAAGCTAATCTATGAGCTTGAAACGCTAAAGTATTAACCATCTTCTGCATGTTTTCTAAATTGTGATCCTATAATAAAGAGTAAATTAAAATCTGGGGCAATAAGTAGCAAATTAAAATTCACATGCAAAAAAATTTGTTTGTTAATATAATAACCTTAATATTACCAACTCGAAGGGAAACACTAAAATTTCATGAGGTGAAAAATCAAATATTTTTTACAATTCAGTCAAAATAATAAAAGTACTGGTCTTTTAAAAATTGTATAAAATGTATTTTTTCTACAAAAATTATTTTAAATAACATCAATATCCCAATTTTTTCATTTGATTTTGTCTTTTGCTGAGTTAAATTTTGATAATAAATTCTTCTGCATTGCTATCTTCTTTTTTCAAACTCCAGATGCATCAGTCTCTTATAATGCTTTTGATTTTTCCTAATCAGTACACACTAAAATATTATTGTCGACAGACTATCCATAAATATCAGTTCTGTTTACATTTGTACATTTAGCAAGTTCTTTCCTATATAATGAGCAGATATTCTTATCTAGATAAGCATCTTGCATGTCTACTTCTTTAAGAATGGATAATCCAAGTAATCCTTTTTTCAAACATAAGTTCTTTCCCATTAGCAAGCAGAGTAAAAAAAAAAAAAAAAAAAAAAAAAAAAAAAAAAAAAAAAAAAAAAAAACAATGCACACGATCTAAAAGTATATGCAATTCACAATATCCTGGGATAGCATAAAGACAATCAATTTTTTTCATGCATCAAATCAAATTAAATTATCATTATAAATATAAATCAAATCACATTAAATTAATCAAAATGATGGGATTAAAAATCAAATTAAATATGCTGGAATAGCCTGGATGGTAGGACATTGGACTCTAGTTCGTGAGAATGTTAGTTCGAATTTCGGTGACTGAAGAATCCTCGTATATTAAATGGTGATTGGTAAAACTTAAATCTGTCAGGGTTACTAAGTCCAGTTCCCATAACAAATCAATACCTCTGGAGGGTATACTGAATTGGTGACTGACCGTTTTCTGGTTCAGGTTAAAATTGTGATCTGTGGATGAATGAATGGAGTATGATTGGGTCCTTAATGTAAAACGGGCTATGACGTATGTAGCTGAAAATGTACTCTTGGCCATAGATGGCACCACTGAAAAAAATAAGAAATGCACCCTCTGCCTTAATTCATGACTTCAAGCGGGCTTGCTGGTATTAGCAAGTAGCATAAGTAAAAACATTAAATGTATAAATAATTTCTAAAACTGTCAGCCTTCTTTCAGAAAATATTCAAGAAATATAAATTTTCAACTTCAGTAATTACCACATATAAAATAAAATTATGAAAATAAAATATGTTTAACTAAGCAGTATTTATACCTACATTTACATTGCAAACATATATGCACGTACAATGAACAAATTAATTTTGTTAAAGAAATATTAAAAGCAAATGATGAACTTAAAATCTCATAGTATTTAAAACATTAACAGTAAAATCAAACATCTTCATTAAACCATATTCACAAATAGAATAAATTATTACTCTAAGTTTCGATAACTGTTGAACTATCACTGATTCAGGTAGATTGTCAAACAAACCATCAGTTGCTAGTAATATAAGATCACCTTCTTCCACAGGCAAAGATGATGTATCGGCAGTCTCAGGGCTATAAAAATATATGCAAATAAAATTTATCAGCAACTGATAATTAGTGAGGCTTTTTTTAATTTTTAATTTCAATCCTTGAGAGAGGATTGTGCTTTTTTCAAATAACAGTCGCTAAATTTTCATTGTAATCATATAAATAAAATTAAGAAAGACCTTTAATTTTTTTTAGCAGACCTTATTATTTTGACAAAAATAAATAATTTTATATAACTTATTAACTGTTGAATTATTAATTCAGAATTCCACAAACTTGTAGAACATTGGTTTTTAATTGATAAATGAAAAAGATACAGTGAAACCTTTCGGGAGAGACCACTCTCGGTTCTGCAGTAAAATGGTCGTTAAGGAAGGTTGATCCTTCTTAGGGGTTACCTCCGTTTTTATGGAAAAAATTCTGTACCTCCCAAAAGTGGTCGCAAATAGAGGAGGTCACTACACATAGGTAGTCTTTTCTTGAGGTTTCACTGATTTTGAAAAGAAAATATATTTTTCAAGTATAACATTGCACAAAAGGACACTATTCTAAAGTACACGACAGGTCATAAGGCAAAAGTATTTTTAAAAATCTTCAAAACAAATATAAAAAAAAACATTAACATGATTGAAATGTACTTATTATTATTAACCACTTATTTTATTAATTAATTAATAATTTTTTTCTTCGAAATAACAGTTATAATTGAAATGTATAATGAATGATACAACTAGATTAAAATACAGTCGCATAAATGGATAAAAACAAGTTCATTTGATGAGCTCACAAAGTAACATAACTGAAAGACACTTTAAAACTTGTTAAAAATGTCTTTTTGCAAATTAAAAATTTTGTAAGCAATTTTTCATAATTTACACACATTTCTAAAGTTTAAAGCTAATTAAAGAAATTAAAATAAATAGTCATTTAAGCTGTCCTAAAGATCTTATGTTAGAAATGCTTTGTTTGCTTTCAATTATAAAATTGCCCTTCTATCAATTTATAACAGCATATTAAAACAAAATCATATAACCTTTCTAAAATTTGCATCAGGGCAAAAAGAAAAAGGAAAAATTATAATTGGAATAATAATGACTTTAAAGAAATGAAAGATGATGCACTGTAATTAATAAATTACTATTCAAATTAGAATACTCAATAAATTATACGGTTGACAAACTATACACAACAAACTTTATATGAATTAAATTTATTTTTACAGCACTAGAGAAATAATTTTTAAAAGAAAATTTAACTTAAAGAAATAAGTTATTAAAAAGGGTGATTTAAGTTTTTAAATGGACTGCACACTTATCTATAGCAACATTAAATAAATAAAAATGAATAAAAGCTTTATCAAAATTAAAGGGCAAGCATGTGGGTCACCCTAGTAAAAATGCTTATGAGAAACACTATTTTTTTTCTTTAAAAAAAATTATCCAAAAGACTTAAATTAAATTAAAAATATAAGCTTTATTTCAAGCTATTCTATTTTTGATATTATAGTTAAGTTTAAAAGTACTTTTTAAACTTAAAATAAATCTGTAAAGAGTTAAGATAGTTTTTAAATATGATAATTTTCGTCTGAAAACTAAAACAAGAGAGAAAAGCATACCTGTCACTTAAAACATGCTCATTAATATTGGCTGGAGCTAAAGATAATTGGAAAGGTGTATTAAAATAATGTTGCTGTTCCTCAGATCTATAAACTATTTGTCCATTTCTCATCACTAAAAATCCACTATCCCCTATATTAGCAGTATACAACATTTGGTCTATTCTATTCAAAACTACAACACAGGCAGTGCTACTACCTAGAATTAAAAACAAATATTAAAGACTACCAAGAATTCAAGATAATATGAGCTTAATGAAAAAAAATTTACATAAGAAATATTATGCATTAATACAGACGGGAATTGAGTTTTAGCTTTAAAATTTTCTAATGAGACAAATAATATACCAGGATTTGAAAAGAACTATTTAATACACAGAAGTCTGCATAAATAAATTTAAGTGTGTAACTTTAAAAACATTAAAAATTAAAAGACTTATGGGCACAATTCATTATAATAAATAACTATTAAAATGAATAATATAATACAGTAGGGAACCGATTATCCGGAACGATCGGGACCATCGCTATTCCGGATAACTGATTTTTCCGGTTTTCTGAATCGCTACAAAAAGCTGTTTTTTTATTGTTAAACCCAACTAAAAAAAAAAAATTTTTTTTTGGAAATAATTTTAAAAAGAAGAAAAAACGATGAAGTAATACACTAATGATTATTTCCAAAATGATGGCAAGGTGAATATCTTTCAAAAAAGAAAGAAAAATCCAAAAATCTTATGAGGGAAATGTTTTTTTTTCTTTTTTTCTTTTAAAAATGGCGGGAAAATTTATCGAATTTCGTTCCGGTTTTCTGATTTCCGGATAACGGGTTCTGTACTGTAAAGGGATACATTATAATTATTACTGAAAGAAAAAAAAAATTCTAAATAAGTCAAAAACAAGCTGAGCTCTTATTTAAAGTGCTGCCAGTAAAGATGACAGCATATCTTATGATTGCCAGACAGTATGTTGAACATTTTTAAACAGAAAAGAAAAATCTCTTGAAAATGAGTGTTTTTAAATGTTTTTAGAATCTAAAATATTATAAAGGATGTTCATTTAAATCCAAGATTAAAGGATCCAAAAAGCATTTACACTTTTTATCGCCATTTTACTGTAACATAATTTTGAGAGGAAAATTACAATAGATAATGTAAAAGTAAAATAAAAACCTAATTTGAAAATTTTAAAAATCCTTAATAATCTTTTTCTTTTTTTTAAATTTATTATTCAAACTTTTTTGTATTGAAATAAAATTAGCTAGAATACAATTGAAAAAGGATGACGAAATATTAAAGGCATTCATTTTTCATATAGCATCTTCTACGAAGTAGTTTTGCATAAAACTATTAAACTTAAAACTTTAAAAACATACCTATTATCTGTTCCTTATTTTCCTTTAATTCATAATAACTAGCAGCTATAAGATGCCCAGGATTTCGAGGATTAAATCTGCCTGACGTTACTAATCTCTCACATGTTTCCATCAAGCTATAAGAAAACTTTGAAGGGTCTATCCCATAATTCCTCCATCCTCCTACACCATCTGCCACACCTTTGAAGAAAATATATTTTTCATTCATGTCATCAATAACAGATTGATTAAAGGATTTATTAACACATAATATAATCTTTATATAATATGTTTTCAAACTAATAAAGCAAAATGAAATGAACTAAAAAAGTAAGATTAGAAGTTAGACAGCCATTCTGGTGTCATCAATGGTAAGATATAGAATGTTTGTATGTATAAGGTTTTGAAAAGGTTTATAAGTTTAATAATTTTTAAGTGTTAAGCTTTATAATTTTTTTAAGGCATCAAAGAAAACCTCATTTCTTTTGGAAACAGGAGATTAAAAAAGAAATATTGCACAGATAATCAATAAATATACAAAGAATTTAACAATACTAAAAATCAAATCAATATTTTAATATTAGACATATATTTAATATTTAACAATTATTGATCAAGTCAATGTTTAATTTATTAAACAGTATATACATAGCCCCTGTTAATGTCCTTTACCAATTTGTATTAACTTGAATATATGCTGAAAAGATCTAAACATGTTTATTAAACAATCAGTTATGGATTAAATATTTATTTAAAAAAACATTTACATAAATTATTATATTTTAATGTTTCCAACAAAATATTTAAACTAATAACTTTTTTTCAGTCACGAATGATATATTTCATTATAAATAGGAATAATTAAACAATATGAAGAATGTGAAAAAAATAGATCAGGGCACTTTATCTAGTTATGCTTAATTCAAACCATTAAGTTGATGCTTAATTATCTTAATTATTTTTCACTCATTTATAGATATTGTATAAAACACATTATTTAAGTATACAAGAACTTATTTGTGATTAAAGGCTGAAATTCAATCTAGTAATTCATTATTTTCAGATGTTGTAAGTATTCAAAGTAATAACCTAATAAGAAATATTTCTAGCTAAAAAGAGATATTAGCCTTACAAGCTAATAAGAAATATTTCTAGTAAAATTTAATGTGTTTACAAAAATTTGGCAATGAACAGACAATTTTCAATCGAGAAATGTTAATAATATTTTTATTATATTTTGAAATCTTGCATAGTTAAAATGCCTAACTGAATATTTGAGTTATATTTTAGTTATTAACATAAATATAAAGTAGACTGTCACAATACTAATATTATGAAATATTTTCATAATAAATTAAATTAATTTACTATACATTTATGCAAAATTGCAAAAAAAAATTTTTTTTTAATACAACTAAAACATGAATTAAAAAAAAAAAAAAGAGTTGTTTTCATATACTGTTAACATTCTTTTAATTTTAACAAATTTTCTAGAATGGGTAGATAATTTTATATTTCACTCAACTATTGGGGGTTATTTCCTTATCGTGATCTGGGGTGTCCAAGCACCAAATAGATTTTAAAGGTGAAAATTTTAAAAAAATAAACCGTGCAGAGGTTTGCCTGGAGGTGGCTGCGATGTATACTTTGAGTCGATTCCCTTCTAAGAATTATATTAGTTTCTAGCGAGCCACTGCCAGAAGTTGCCACAACTTGGTGATTATTTTGTCTTAGATTAGGTGATTAATTTACCTTGCATTTAAACAATGAATCAAGTCACTTTCTTTTGAATTATTAAAAATTAAGGGATATCTGCCACAGCAACTACAATCACAAACGTGCCTAATAGATTCTAAACTTGCAAATATTTTTTAAAAATAACAGATTCATGTTTGCCTGGGGGTGGCTACAAGTTATAGCTTTGGAGTTGGCCCTTTTTTTTGACTTTTTATTTTAATTTCTTGCAGGCCATGCCCGGAAGTTGCCAAGATTTGGCGATTACTTGCCAAGATCACGATATGGGAATCTTTCCAAATATTATTATTATTATATTATTAAATCACCATTTCCGATATATCCACCATAATTCTGAGAGAAAGATAAACTCTTTCCTTCCATAAAATGCCATCAATAACTATGTGTACAATATACATCAAGGTACTACATTTAGAATATTTAATAAATTGATCTGATAAATTACCAATATTTTTATTAAACTTATTTTGAAATAAGAGGCAGAAATAACAATTTAATCGAAAATTTATCACCTATCAAAATCACAAAATATCAAATATCTGTTAATGTTAAAGTGACCGATGCAATGATTATGTAACAAAGGATTTATGACGGAGAGAAATAACATATATTTTTTATTTATTTTTATAGAATTTGCAGCGTTCTCTAAGCAAAACTTTCAGAAGTTAAAAAATAAGATTAAGCAATGTATAGTGAAGAATATTAATTTAATAAGTGTGCAAATTTAAATATAATATCGACATTATCTAAGTTTGAAGGTCACGGTTGATTACGAAATTAATTTCAACTCAAATTCTAAGCTTTATTCAATAAATTTTTTCATGCATTTACACACAGTTTAAACAAATATTATTAAATTGTTTACCTAGGACATCAGCTGTTTTGTATCTGGCAAAAAAACTTGCATCATCGCCGTATCGTCCTTTACTTAAAAGCGCTGAAAATCTAGATGAAACTTTAGGAAATCCACAAGCTACAGCAAGAAGTCTAAAATCTCGTTCTCTTTTTCGATTTACAGCTGCTTCTGTACTACTTGAATAATTATATACACCACTAATCAAAGCACGCGTTAAATACCTACCACAAATGATAACAGACTGCATTCTTTCCAAAAAGATTTTACCATTTCTGTTACTAGTTATTAAATTTAAAACCTCATTCTGTAATAATGTTTCTTAGGTTAAATTGACCTCCGTCATTAATTGTTCCCATTTTACAAGAGAGTGGTAAATAGACCAGAAATCAATTATTTATTTACCATCGGATAATATCAACACACAACAGAATTAACCTTAACTGGGTTAATTCGAAAATGTCCCTTACCGATACACACCAAATATTTTCCAACTATTGAGTTTGATTCATTTCTTACTTTTCAATATTTTACGTACGAAAACTGTTTAAAAAGTTTTAGTGCAAAGGGGTAATGTTATTTTTCTGAAAACAGTTGGATTTTTGTATGCACCACGTGGTACTCATGGAAATTAGAGATGCGCATTAAATTTTTACTTAACTTATTTTTTAAGTTTTAATAGCTTGTGGAAATAATTAATTAACAATTTTATGATATTTTTATAGCTGAACTCGCTAATTTAATGAAAGTGGTAGTTTTCTTTAAATAGAAACTCTAAAACTGAAAGTGAAACTAAAAATGGGTATGGTTTCTTTTCACTGGTGCGTTTTCTCTCGTCTTGGCAGCAGTTATGTTCATATCTTACTGAATGATGAAAATCTAACACTTATCTTAAAATATGAATTTATAATATTAAGTAAAAGTATCTTGTATTAAAATTAAAGACCTTTTGTTTAAGGCATCAATTTTGCTGCTAAAATCTAACCCCGACTGCTTCAAAAATACAACCAATCAAGTGCTTCCTAAATAAAAGGAGTTTTTGGACAGATGAGGAATTCTGTTTCTTGCCGCTAAGGATGAAGATTGTTACTAAGAGATTAATAACGTAAATTATATATAAAATGAAGCAAATGAGTAATATTTTCTTTTATTTTCATCAAATTTTTTTAATTACTCTTTTAATTGACTTAAAAATCGGAACAAATTGTGTAAAATTACTTTGAATTAGGAATTTTTACCTAGTAATGAGTCATTTTCAAAGTATCACAATATAACTAATTATTTATTATTACTAGTTTCAGTAATTGCATTACTTGTACTAGTAAAAACTTATCACAGTATTTCAACCATAGTGATAATAAGTTATTTTCAGTTATATATTCTTCGTACAATAAGATTTAATGGTTAAATAAAATTTATTTATTATTTAATAGTTAATAATGGTAGTTAATAGTTTCATTTGTTAATTTTTTTACTGGAATAAAATAAAAGAGAAATTTATAAAGATCTTATTCACAGCTGCAAGTACATAAAACCCTAAATTAGATAAATATCCAAAGAAAACATGAAAAGAATACAGAAAACAAAAAAGTAAAATTATTATTAAGAAAATATTATTAATAAAAAATAAACATTATTATTTAAAATTATGAATGCAAAATAAGAATTAAAAAAATAAATAAATAAAAATTTTTAATTTGGCAATGAAAAGTTAAAAAAAAAAAATAAATAAATAATAATTTTTTTTTATTAACTTACATGATTATATCTGTAAAAATTAATGCTTTTCTATATTATATTAATAAAATCAAAGCAAAATACATCAATACAATAATAGTTTAAGAGTATAAATATTGATTTGATAAACAGTTTTTTTAATTTGTTATTTTTACAGATTTTTGATAGGGAATATGTTTTTTTTCTTCCTTAAATATAAATTAACGACCCCTATTGAACATTCTTTTTGTTTTTCTGTTATAAACACTTTTGACAAGGATTCTTAAAATATAGAGTAGAGAAATTCACATTTGATTGAAATTGAATTTTATGTAAATGTAAACGGAAATTATTCTATTATTAAAAACTTACTATTTTCAACTAAATATTCTTTACTTTCACTTGAATAGAAAAAATATATGTAAAGGCAAAGACAGAAAATTTCATTAATATTTTATTCTATAAGAAATATTTTCCTTGAACAAAATATTTATCGGTTAGAATATTCTATTTCATATACAAATGGTATTTATAGATTTAAAGTTTTAGTGCCTTTTAGTCATCGATTGGATGTCGCCTTTAAACGCCATTATTTCCTATTCCAATTTTTTTTTTTATCTGGTTATAAAATTGTTTATTTGAACTAAGTTTTGAGCAAAAAATTTTGAAGAATTTTTTTAAATATATTTTTATTATTTATTCAAAAATGCTTAAATAAAGGAAATTGCTTGAGTATATGTATATATAAGAAATATTAATGTCCGATTTTTCTTGCTTTTTTATGTCTCAGAAATTATATTCAACCGGTTTTGCTTAATTTTTGATGGGATTTAAAAGAGAATATAAGTATTTTTTCGTATCCTATGCAAAGCGAAATATTTTTCTTCATTTTTAAATTAAATTTTAATATACTGATAAAAAAGAAATAATATAATAAAATACGTTATTAACTAGATATATTAAAAATAATATAATAGCAAAGAAATAATTATCAAAACCACTTTTCGTGTGAAATTTTCTTTGGATAAGGGATTGGAGGTTCCCGGATTGAGAGTCAAAATCGTGCCTCCGGGCGCCCACTCGAGTGGGTGCCCATGCAAATTGGGCATATTTTCTGGGCTCACACTGCTGATATTTAAATTTTTTTGCAATTTGTTAGTATAAAAATTTTTGCATTTTTAAAAAAAAATATATTTAGTGTTGAAAATTTCAAACTTTTTTTTCTTCCTGTTTTTTCAAGCGTACGAATTTGAAACGAAGGAAATAGTCTTTTCATTTTTAGAAGTATCCTACTGCCTCCTCCACAAAAAAAAACTTCGTATGATTCAAAAATATTCATAATAATTAAAAAATAAAATTAATTCAAATCTCTTTAGATAATTAATTCGCAAATTTCCCTACTTCTTAAGGCCTTAGTACTGTAACGTAAATATTTTGTACATGAAAATGAAGTGATAGCATAAGTAGTAAAGAGGAAAAAATTGTATTTAAATATGAAATGCGGAAAAAAAAAAAAAAAAAAAAAAAATGGTGCAGANAAAAAAAAAAAAAAAAAAAAAAAAAAAAAAAAAAAAAAAAAAAAAAACATGGGTAATAACGCGGTTCTGATTCAGGTAGAAAATATAAGGGAATGAGTGAAAAACATGAAAACATTTTTCCACAATAATTCGATTTTTTTCTCAATATTTTAACAGTATTTCTATTGTTTATAAAATATTCATTATAATAATAATAAATTCTTTGCTGCATCTTTTATATAAAAATTTTCTTTCATTATTATACGAGTAAGCAACAAAAATATTAATTTAGATAAAAACTGAATGAAATTAAAAAATAAAAAAAACGTTACAATTTGTTTTAAAACTGTAACATGAAAAGAAAATAATATTGAAAATGGACTGAGACTACTTTTCTCGCATCATCGTTATTGAATTGTAGCGTTTATTAACTGAATAGAAGACCAATCTGATTGGTTGATCTCGAATCAAACTGAAAAGGGGTCGTTTCCAAATAATAAATTATGATCGTTAAGTTAATTTCGTTTTTTATTTAAATTAAATTAATTTTGGTGTATAAATCACAATAAAATATTAAAGTTATCGAAAAGCAGATTTATAAAATATCTTAAAATAGCTCACAGAGGTAAGTTTCGGAATGGAGTGTAGCAAAACACTTCCAAAAATTGTTGCCACCAGCTGTTTCTCTTTCTTTGAGCAAAATTACCTTCAGGCCAAATGATCAGTATGGCTTCATGTCATGTTCTGAAAACACAACGGGATGAGTATCCGATTAATTGTTAAATTTTAAAGATATCTCTTCAAAATTCTTTTCAAATCTTAAAAGAATGAGTGAATACAATTCGTACAATTGGATATGTTGATGTACATTTCATGAAGCTCTTTTTATTTATGTGGATCTTGTTGAAAAGATGTATATCTACTTAATGTTTATATTGTAAATAAAAATCACAGATGAAGCTTTTGTGTACGAATATTCTGTTTATAAAATCATAGATCTGCTGAAAGTGTTTGCTAGAGTAGCTAGTATGAGTGTTATAGTGTTCAATAAATATGAAGTACTAGCTTAAAACTATTTATACTGGAAAGTTGAAGAGCTTTTTCCGGTTGTTCATCAACTATTTATCACATAGATAAATGCTGGAAATGTCCGAATACCAATGGTAATTTAGAAATTATTTGTTTTATAAGAATTGTTTTACTATCCTATCTCAACAAAACAATGTATTTTAACTAATAGATTCTTATAAGTCTGAGTTCTATAATAGTGATAAACATAACTAATTACCTACAAATAGTAGTAATTATTTCATATTTCTTAAAAATTTATGAATTGCTAGTATTTTAGAGACGAAATTTTAGTGAATATTGACATTGAATAAAGCAAAATGTGCTAGTTTTTGAAGCAATTATTAAATATCTAATCATTTAAATTTATGTTCTACATAAATTACAATTTTACAAACGTTTTTTATTTAACAAATATTATGTTAAACTTCATTAACTTAAACAAAATTAGCAACTATTTTTTTTAAAAACCATGTTATTTGTGTTTGGTTGTGTTATTATTTTATTTATTTTTAAACTTTTAATCTGACTTATGTGTTTTATTTACAAAAACTTTTATTGTCTAAAAAAATTAGAATAAATTCACTCTTATTTGAAAAATTTTTTTTTTGAGATGTGAAATTTAAAATCGATGAATTAATTTTAAAACAGAGACATCAATTGTAAACTCCAGCCATTTTATTTTTAAGATCATACTGTAACTAATATATTAATTTTACAAATTGAATGTTCTAGAATTATTGATTGAATATTGAACCAAAACACTCTGTCGGACATTATTAATAGTTGTTTTGTTCTATTTAAAGTCTAATAAAATAAAGATTTATTTTTTTCATCTTATTGCATTAGAGTAATAGAAAGCTTTTTATTTTAGAATAATAAAAGATTCTAGTATGCTCCTTGCTCATCTGCTCGCTTTTTAGAAATAAATTGTTTTGCAAAAATAAAAATTCATCAAACTTCAGATTGTATATATTACTATTGTATTTATGAATGTATTTGATTGTGTTTATTACAATTTTTTTTTATTTCTCATATTATTGTTGGTATCAAGTTAAATGTCATCAATTTTTTTTCAAATAAATATTTTTTTAATAAAATTGGTGCATTTGTTGTAACGTTTTGTGTAAAATTTTTATTGTTTTGTTAGTAATTCATAAAGGGCCTGAAAAATGAAAAGAGCTTGAATTTAAAACAAAATAAATACCTACTATAAATAACTCATACTTTAGAGTTACTAATTATATAATCTTTCTAATATTTTGTTCTTTGTTTCAAATGTTTTTTCTTATTACATATCTCTAGAAATTTATTTTACTAGATGATAATATTTTTAAAAAAATTGTTCATGATAAATTGGTAACGGTTTTTTATGTTAAGGAAATGTTCATATCTGACATTACCATTTCTTAACATTTTTTTTATCATTAGTAAATATAGCAATAAATATGTAAATTTAAATTAATGAAATTATTATTAAAACAAATTTATTATAGTATTGTTTTTAAAAATAGCAACATTTATAATTTTTATAATTTAATTTATATGAATATACAATCAATATGGATTCCATGAATGTTTTGAATATGGCTTTCATGTATGTAAATTGTTTAAATGAAAAAAAAAAAAAAAAAGAAATACTTGCTGAGTCAGTCACAAATTATAAGTAAAAAACTTAGTTTTCTGCTTTCTTTGAATTAATGAAATTTATTAAACGTAATATGTGTAAATGATCATATGACAAATTTATTTTCCATTTAATTACAAATATGTTTAAAAAATAAAGTTTATTCTAAATCTTTTTGTTAAATCATTTCCTGGATAAAAGTTGTTTAAAAAAATATGTATACATAGATTTATGAGATCCATTTATTTTTATTTGAGTCACTTTGCTTTTGTAATATTTTATTTAAATATAGTTTGCACCATCTAAAATCTCATGTATAATTTTAAAGCCCAAAATGTTTATAACATATTAATTTACATGTTTTTGTAATTGTTATAATCTTCTGAAAAAATATTAAATATCTTTTCTTAAAATAGATTTAAGACAATGTACATTTAAAATATTTATAATCTGGGAAATTTAAATCTCTAATGTAATTAAAGTGAGCAAATATTTTTTTAAAAACATAATTAATTTACTATTAAGATAACTAAAAAATTTTTTATGTATCGCAATAAAAATATTTTTTGAATGATACAAATCTTATCTTTTACTTAATTTTGGTTTCTCATTTAGTTGTAGCTATAATCACAAATTAGATTCATACGAACTTTTTGTTTATATGTTTTTGTAATTGTCATAATCTTCTGAAAAAACAATAAATATCTTTCCTTAAAATAGATTTAAGGCAAAGTACATTTAAAATATTTATAGTCTGGGAAATTTAAATCTCTAACGTAATTAAATTTAGCAAATATTTTTTTAAAAATATAATTTACTATTAAGATAACAGAAATTTTTTTTATGTATCATGATAAAAATATTTTTTGAATGATACAAATCTTATCTTTTACTTAATTTTGGTTTCTCATTTAGTTGTAGCTATAATCACAAATTAGATTCATGCGAACTTTTTGTTCCAAATACTTATTTTACGATATTTTTTTTAGGGCGTATTCATTAGTGGATTCGTCAAGAGTTTCAACTTTTCTAATATCAATGCTTCTCATTGTATATGGAAGTTTCAGGTAATTATAGTTTATGTTCGCTATGACATCAATTTTATTTATTAATTTGTTTAAATATGTGGTTTTTACCTGCTTTTTAAGGAAATTATTTATTAATTTTTAAATGTGTTTAGAAATCAATCTAATTTTTTACACTTTTAAATAAATTTTTCTTGCATTATTTTAATAGAATAATTCAACTTTATTTAAAGTGGAGTTAATCTGCATTTTTAGTTAATGCTAGAACCAGGGTTGGCAAGATTTTGCCGCAGGTGGAAAAAACCATGGTAAATACCGGTAAAAACCGTCCTGGCAAAAACAGGTTTTTGCCAAGCAAAGTGGCAAAAAGTGGCAAAAACCTATATTTTCCAAGATGAGAGGACAAAAACACATTTTTGATACAAAATTATTCCTAAAATTGAAATATATACTATGAATATAAATAATTACAAAAAAATTAACAAAACTATTATTCCATAATTAAATGATAATGTAACATTTTAGTAGTTTAAAACATTATTGATTGGAAAATTTGTGATTATTCTCTTTTTTCCAGTGAAATGAACTTATTTTAAATTAATATAACTATAATTTAAAGCATAAAATATCTATCAACATGTGTAGTTAATTATTGTACAAATAATAATTTTTTATAATATAATAATAATAATATAATACAAATAATATTATTTATTTATTTGTAAAAAAACATTTATTTAAGGATTCTAAATTGAAACGAGGTCAAAAACTTTCAATGTTTTAAAACTTATTGCCTTTACATTAATTATTAATATGTTAAAAATATTTTTTTCATGTAATGTATCAAAATTATTATTCCTTATGATTGATTTAAATTTGTTTCAAGTATTTTGTAATAATATTTAATCAGCAACTTAGATAATTTGGTTTTTGCCGGTTTTTACCAGTTTTTGCCGGTTTTTACCGGGTTTTTGCCACTGTCTTGGCAAAAAACCCTTTTTGCCGGCAAAATCTCCAACCCTGGCTAGAACTATTCCACATGTTATATACTTAAATTTCTGGCAGAAATAGATCTTTTTCAAACATTTCTTCCCAACAAATTATTTATCCTTAAATTTTTTTTTGTGCAATTTTGTGTAAAAACTTCCTTGCTTAGCATCAACCAGGTCTTAGTTATAAACACTATTCAAGTTAAATAGTTAAAAATCTTAAATGTCCCCTACTTGTCTGGGTGTCCTACTTTAAAAATTACGAATGTTTTCTGTGTGTTTTTACTTAAGAATTGTCTATTAGAGTTATGAGTTAACAAAAATTGAAATAAATATAAGCACAAATTTATAAATATATTATAATTTACTTTTGTTATAAAAAGTTTAAAAGCATTTTGTAAATGAACAAAACATGTAAATTTGAGGACCAATGGGGCTACCAAAATGTGGTTAGGGCCCCCGTATTTCTAAATCAGACACTATCCGGTTGTAAAAGGTATTGTAAATATTGGGTAAATAGGTATTGTAAATGTGTAGATGGTATTTTTGGCAATGCATACTTTTAGAAGATTGCACATAGATCACAAAACATTGAAACAGAATTTTTTTTAATAATTTTAGTTATAAAATAATAAAAACCTCTATCAGAAGGAAAGATTTTATTTAAATTCTTGGATTTCGCTTGCAGCGTTTGTGTTGTTTATTTAAGTTTGAAATAAAATTTTTTTAAAATTTTCTTTCATTTTAGAAGTATTACCCTAAGTATTCTACTCTAACTATTCTAAACACCCTTAATTATTTTGATCCTAAGTATTACTATCGATTCCTCGCTTATGTATCATTTTCCAAATTGAAACACGAGACTAGTTTAAATTTTTACTTTTGCACAGAAAGCTTTTGAAAATCGGGTCACCTGGTGCAACCTGCTATTTCTATTTTTTCAAAAAATTCTTTACATTTTTTCTGATTGTCCAATTCTTTAAAAAAAATTTTTCCCTATGTTTTATGATTTTTTAAAATTTATTATTATTTTTTTACATGTTTCAATTGGAGGTACAGGTGAAAACATCGTTCCAAAAGTATTACCTAAGGGAAAAAGATGCAACATTATTTAAAGCAACTTTAAAAAATACTTTTCTAAACTTAAAACAATGTTACCTTGGAAATTTTTTTTATTTCCATTCTCTCAGACACGATAAATCCTTCAGTTTTCATACAATTTACTTTTTTGGCATTATATTCATTGTATATAATCAATGAAGTTTCCATTGCTCACAGATATATTCATACATATTACATACATTTGTGCACAAAATGAAAAAGTGAACACCCTGAATAACTTAATGATTCCAGGGTCTAACTTTGAATTTGCTAATTAATTAGTGCAGATAATATTTTAAATTCCGAAATCAGACACAAAAATGTACTTGGTCTGAATAAACAAAAATTTCCCCCCCCCCCATAGATATGGATTTTTGAACCCAAAATGTGGGGAGTTGCTACGATCTGAAAAATAGCCTTTAATATTAATTTTACTTTTTGTGTTTCACCATATCTTGGGAACTTTTTAAACGATTAAAATTTTTTTTTAATAATTTTAAATGGTAAAATTCAATATTGGAGCAAAATTATTAGTTCTTGAGGAATGAAATTTTAAACTTTTTACAACTTTAAATTAATTTACAACTTTTTTAAAATTTGATAATTAGGGAATTATTTGAATGATTGCAATCAAATTTTAAATTTTGCCATTTAAAATTATATTTTTTAAAATGATATGAAATTTTGTATACCTTACAATTCAAATTATTTGACTTGTAAGAAAAAGGATGAAAATAAAATAATAAAAATTAAATAATTAAGTAATAAAAATTTATAAATATATATTAAAAATTATCTTTGTATACACGCATCCTGTAATTGTTTGCAAAAATTTTTTCAAATTGCTTAAGAAATTTTCATGATATGGTAAAATACTCACAAAGTAAAATTAATATTAAAGGGCCAAAACTTTTATCCGCTCTCTTGTTCAAGCTATTGAGACCATATTTTTCAGATTGCGTCATCCCTTCATATTTCGAGGGTAAAGAATATGAATCCCTAATAAAAATAAATGTTTTTTCAGAGAAGGTACATTTTTGTGCCTGGTTTCGTTATTTAAAATATTGTCTGTGCACTTATTATTTAGTATATTTAAGGTTAGTCCCTCGAAATATTAAGCTTGCATTCTATCACTTCAACATCCAATCATTAGATCAAAACTTACTCACGTGAAGAAGTTTTAAAATTCAGAGTGACTTTGAGTCACTTTTTAGATGCAAAGGGTTTATAAAATGAATTATTTTTGCAGGGTATCTGCTACATTTTAGATTTTCAAATCCATGACTTTCTATTCCAAGAATTTTTCACGACTTAACGAAGTTACCATTTTCTCGGACAAAAACATAACAATAAATTTAAAAAAAACATAACATTAATTGAAATGATAGGTGTAACCAAAACTGTTATACTCTGCATCTTCATATTTATAGATTTTAAATTTAAAAAACAGGGTAAAGAAAGAGTTGAAGCAATGAAATTAGTGAAAAAAATACAAAAGCAAATAATTTTTTTTCTGCAGAATTATATTCTAAAGGTATTCTATTCTTGTTCATCAGAAAGAAAAGAAATACTCTGGATTTTTCTGTTCTCATTTCCAAAAAAAAAAAAAAAAATTCCCCAATGACTGGCCTGCTTTAGCTAGAATTTCAAATTGATAAAATAAAAAAAAAATAATAATAAAGATTCTGAAATTACAGAAGTTTAAAAAGATAATTCCCTCTAGAAATGATGCTTTTTCTTTCATTTTTTAAAAGAGCACCATCATTTTTTAAAGAACGTGATAAAAACATTTTATATTTTAATAAAATAAGACTGAGTGAGGATTTTGTAAAAATTTTTTTACACCATGAAATTGGGGGGGGGGGATTCTATTTTAAAAATAAGATTTTTCAGCGACCTAAATCTATGACTTTCCATGATTTTTTTAAAAAAATAGTTAAAAATATGACAAATTTTGTCCGATACCGAAATTTATGACTTTTCATGATTTTTCATGACTTTCGAGGTGCGCAGATACCCTTTATTTATTCTATCAATTTTTAGGATTAATTAGGCCAATTAATAAAATTAATTAGGACACTAATTAATTTTTCCATATTTCATTGAATAAAATACACTATTTTTTTGAAAATGGCTAGAGACCTTTAGTTTTGTAGTCTTAATTTTAAATGTTTTTAATACTATTGTTTTATTAAGAGTCCACATTTAATGCCAGGCCACGGTTTGCGATAGGGCCCATAAACTGTTGTCATATAACTGTTCTTAAAAATTTCAAGAAACTTAGAAGATATGTATTTTAGGAATAGGATATTGTAAGAAAAAAAAAAGCTTAGGTTGAGGATAACATTTGAGTTGAGCACTTTATTTCACTATAGTTGTGAATAATAATTTTTCTAATATTAAAACTGTATTACTTTTTTGTTTAATTATTCAATTTTTTACAAGAAAATACGTCTTGAATTTTTTAACTGAAAAAGGAGAACTTTTTCATGCTATCTGAGATGAGGATAGTTAGACTTTTTCTTACCTTTTTTTACTGTACGTTATATGAATATTTTTATTTTATTTTATTTAATAAGAAGCTGAGGGGGGGGGGGACTATAAGTCTACTGTGAAGTTTACCCAGTCATGCTTCTTGGCCTGGAACCAACGTTCAAGGTCAGTGACACGCAGCTTGAGATGGCGACCCTTTTTCGCCCTTTGTTTTATAAGATGACCGGAAGCTTTTCCCTTCGGAAAAGAGATAAAAACCTGGGAAAGAAATATTCGCACCCTTTTCTATTATTCGATTTTCTCCGAATATCTGTTGGATATTATTATTTTTCTTTTATACTGAACAGTTTTGTTACGTATATTTAGAACACGTGGAATCTAGCACACTATTTTTATTATTATCAACTGTGTAATTCTGCTTAACTAGAACACGTTATGCAGAATTACACCTTTAAATTG